AGTAAAAGATAGTGTCAATCAATCGATGAGCAAGTTTGCCAGTATATTGAATCTCACCCCTAGAATAGAGCAGTCTGAGGGTAAAATGCAATCATTGATGACGAAAGGGCCTCAGAGAGGTGGATATCGAGAAGGCTCCATGATGTCTAGTAATGCATATAGACCTAGTGAGTGTAACAGGTTTCGTAGTACATCCTCAACAGATAAGTTGCAAGGTGCAAGACAAACACGGTTGTGTTTTACACGTTTGCAAGAGGTGCATACAAAGGTGAACTGTGAACCAGTAAGCAAGTTCAGTGATAAGCTAAATGTAAACTCCAGGCCTGACTCCGAATTGTGTGACGATAACGGTGCGGTGAAGAAGTCTGTAGTTGCAACTGGTAAGCCATTGTTGAATAGAGTGTCACAGAATAGAGTTACTGCTTCAGAGTGCAGTTCTGACTCCAAAAGTTTACAAGGTATAACTAGTCAGAGTGAAGATATAGAACCTTTAATGATTTGTGAGGAGGAACCAAAATTGTCTACTTCTGTTATTAAAGAGTTTGAAAATGATGAAGTCGACCAGATAGATAATGGTAAATTGAATATTTGTGATAATGATCATGATAGTGCAGATTTGTCTTTGGTTGATCATGATGAGATGAGGGGAATGCCTACTACCGCTAAGTTAAATAAAGGTTCTGTACAACTACAACGTGAAGTAGAATTGAACGCAGATGCAGTTGCAGAAGGCATGCATACTTGTGAGACCGTCAGTGTAATTGATCAGCGTGTAGCCCACCTATCATCAGATGATAGTGCTAAAACCGAACTAGTAGTGAAAGACAGCAGTGGTGGTAATCTTGCAGTTAGACAACTATCTGAAAGCCGAAAAAGAACAGCTTCTGATCCACTGCTAAGTTCATCACCTTTTGTCACTCAGTCATCGTTGGTGTTTTTATCCACAATGAAATGGACTTCCGTGAACTCACGTGCCTTATGCAATGACTATGCTAGTATCAGTTCGTTTGAAAGGACGAATATCAATGGTCAGTTTAGTGAGGATGAGCCAAGTGTAAACGAGAGAGTAATTGTTAAATTGACTTGCATGAACCAAGGCATTTCTAGTTTCAAGTTACTAATTGAATGCTATTATCTTTGGTGTAAATTACTCTGTTTCTACGCTTTGTTGACCAGATACGTCGTGTGTTTGTTGGTCATCTATATTCTACGATACAATGACATTGACTTGTTAACGTTCAGATTTGAGGATATAGCTGATAGAGGGAAGTCAGCAAATGAACTCTGCGACGATTTTCCAACCTAGGGCGTCAACCTGAGAAGGGTTGTAGGCGTATTGCGGTACTTCCTACAATTCTTCAAAGGGTAGCGCATCAACGAGCAGTCCAATGTGCTCGGTGTGTGATTTTTTGCATATGTTCATATTGTATATACTGAATTGATATCATCTGTCATCTAGCTGTTGGTAATTCTGTTTGTGTCCGGACGACTTCCACTTGGATCATCAACATGAGAAGTAATGTAGGCGTACCCCTGTAAGTCCTACAGTTCTTCAAGGGTAGTTTATCGTGCCAGAATCCACAACATTTGATGTATTGATTGTACATATGTTCGTGTTAAATAGTTGTGTGAGTTCCAATTATCGTAATTGTTGGTTAATCTTGTTTGTGTCCGGACATTCCAAAACTTACAATCGTCAACGTGAGAAGGGTTGTAGGCGTACTGGTGTAAGTCCTGCGATTCTTCAAAGGAATTCCATCAAGACATGATCCGCGAGTTTTTGTGTACAGTTTGTATATATGTGTGGTGTGTCATATCAATTGGTGTATTTTGGATTCATTGTGTTTACTCGTTGTTTTCGTACCTTGTTGTTATCGCATAATTTTGTTAAAATTTTCGTCGTGATTACTTCTGAAGTTGTTTCGAGTCTTCTACATCCATGAATGAATTAATTGATGTTAAGGACAGCAGATGGGTCGTATACGCCGGGGAGGCTAGGCTATTACTGAGAATGAAATACACACGGAGATAATTGTTAGCTGCGGTCCGACACGCCGGGGAGAAAGAGTGTAAACGACTGAGGCTCGCATACGTCACCGCTACTAGAACTGAGGCAGAATGAGTGACAAGCGATTTCAGTGGTAATTGGTAGTGAGTAGATAAGAGGATGTGCGTAGAGTATCATGAATTGGTGCTATGGTCACGTTGCATTCTGCAAGAGTCATTCTAGCAAGTGGCGATTGTGTTGCAACATGTCAAGAGGAGGTCTCTGTCTGGAGGCGCAGGTCGTCATTGATGTGTGAGATTGTGCTGTGGGTATGCTTGTGGTGTGTTGGCTCTTCTGTTTGTTTTCCATTTCAGCTCTGTCCGTGTGACCCAGGTTCTCGCAATAGCATCCAAGTCAACGTGCATTGGTCGTGAAGGAAAAAAGGGTTGGATCCCTTTATTGCCGGGGAGTGTCAATGTAGTCGAAGATTGAACGATCAATTCATGGTTGTTTGCTCAAAACCAACTTCCCCAATTTTCGCGGAGGCATCAATACGACAGTCATCGTCTCATCGGTCGCTGTTCAGAAAGAAGTCAGAAGACAACTGTCAGAAGTAATATTGTGATTTATTATTGTAATATTTGTTCACAGACCTTAGTTGAAACAGTGTTTATATGTTGGTGTTACAATAAAGAATTCTCGAGTCAACAACTGGTGTTTTGGTTTTTTCGTCCGTTATTACTAAGCGTTTCTGAGAAACTTCAAGGAACAGCGTGAGCCCGAGCGTAGCAAGAGCTGGGCATTGACGGTTGACGAGACGTGGCTAACACCTATACAGATTTATGTGTGAAAGAAACCGACCTACCAGGGGGCATGCGATCTAGTGATTTCTGATGGGAAATCTCTTTCTAGTCTTGAAATTGCAGAGACATTCAGCCTAGCCTTTCACAGGCAACTATACAGTAACGAGGATATTACCCACACAAAACATCAAGATTACCATCGCGCGAAAACCTGTTGGGTACATTTTATATTACCCCTGCTATGGTGCTTGTAAATTTGGGAAAGTTGGCTTCAGAAAATTCTTCAGGTTGTGATGACATCAGAACATCCTTCCTGACGCAGTGTTCAGAAGTCTCTGTCAACCCCTAAGTGTTCTGTTCCAACACTCCCTTGATGTAGGGAAACTCCCATGTGGGCTACCGATATCCACGCTGAAAATTCCACACTTGTACAAAAAATACAGTGTAGAATCAATCTGTAATCAAAAATAAAAAAATAAAAATAAAATATGTGAATGGAAACGAGTAATCCTATCCCCTATCTTCAAGGGTGGTAACCGGCAGAATGCGACCAGTTACAGACCAGTTGCTCTACTTCCAGTGATATCGAAAATATTGGAAAGTCTCATTGACGACCACATGAGAAAATACTTCGATGGGACTAACCTTCTTCACGAAGCACAGCACGGTTTCAGGAGGGGAAGATCCTGCGTGACGAATCTTCTACTGGCTTGGAACGATTGGACACTATCCTGGGACAAAAAGGTACCAGCCCACGTGATCTTTCTAGACTTTGCGAAAGCATTCGACACAGTTCACCATGGTCTGTTCCTTCACAAAATAAGCAAGGCGGGTGTTTCTGGAGCACTTCTCGCATGGCTGAAAGATTACTTAGGCGAGAGGGTATTCTGCACCAAAGTCAACCGCATCCGATCATCCTGGCACACCTCGGCATCAGGGGTTCCTCAGGGTTCTATCCTAGGGCCGTTGATGTTTTTGATTTTTATCAACGACCTGCCCTCTCAACTGAACTGCTCTGAGCTTCTTTACGCTGACGACGTAAAGATTTGGAGAGCAATAAACTCATCGGAAGACTCAGATAGACTGCAGGCTGACCTGCAAACTCTGGGAGACTGAGCTCTGGCTAACGGAATGCCTTTCAACCTAAAGAAGTGCAAAGTAGTGCAACTTCATCCCGGCAGGTCACAGTGTGTAAATTACACCCTTGGTGGCCAGAACTTGAGTTGTGTTCAATCAGAGCGCGATCTAGGTCCTATTCTAACAGAAAAGCTAGACACCAGTGGAAATTACTCGAGGGACGTCGCCAAAGCCTACGCAACTTTACACTTTATGCATAGGCAGCTGGAAGCTCTCACTCCCGAACTGTTCTTAAGGCTATACAAGGCATATGTGAGGCCACACCTTGAGGTGCATAATATCATTGCACCTCCGCTACTCAAAAGGGATGCTAACATTCTAGAAAGTGTCCAGAGACGAGCGACAAAATGGGTGATCGGCCTCCGCAACAAATCATATGAGGAAAGACTAAAGAAATTAGGTCTTTTCACACTTAGTTACCGAAGGCACAGGGGAGACCTCATCACCGTCTACCAGATCCTAAGTGACCAGGCCCACCCAAATAAAAGCATCCTACCATTAAGTGATTATAGGCTTCCACGAGGTAACCCGCTAAGGATAGCACACCAGAGACCAAAGACTCGAGTGCGATCACATTTCTTTTCGCTTCGAGTTTGCCGTCTCTGGAACGCCTTATCGGCGGCCGTGACTACAGCGCCATCTCTGGAGATTTTTAAGCGGAAGCTGGACAATCATGCAGGTTTGTGTCTCAATGGCTTATCCCCATAAAACTTGAAACCACACTGTCAATGGATAAGCGTACAAACTACATCCCCACGACCTATTCTGCCTTCTCTCACTCTATCTTTTCCTTAGGTCACCTTTATTATTCCACTTATCACAACCTATATTATCTACACTACAAACTATTATTATTATTACTATTCTGCTTTTGTGACTACACCGAATGACCAACGGGAGTTAGGTCAAACTCCATTCACGGCAGCAATACAGTCCTAACATAGTGCATACTACAAACCACATCTTGACCTATCTCCGCACCACTCCTCTTGGAGTCTACCAGAGCTAAAGCAGTCGAGTGGCGGGACTTACTACGCAGAAGCTCACCGAAGATCTGGAACCTCTACCTCACAATCAAGAAGCGAGCTCAAAGAAATTACTGGTTCATACTGGCTCGTGATCAGGATATTAGATATCTAACATCTCGTCACACTGATAAGTCTAACCGGTTTTATTAATTCTCAGCGAACTGGAAGTAGCCTGTATTTGTAATAAGGAAAATTCTGATGCGTCTCAGATGTGAAATTTTCTCCATAATTTTCAATAACCGAAGTTTGAACCTGCTAGAAACATTAAGGGTTAACACTATAGTGATTATGCATATTGGCGCTAATCTGAATTTGCTGTAAGCAAATATATTTAAAAAGTCAAACAATTAGCAGTAATTTCAAGCCAAATGTAACAACCTAAGATCTTTATTACTCTAAAAGCGATGAGCTATAAGTATGCTGGAAACTAACGCACATAATTGTATTTCCAGAGGAAAGATTACAGATAATTTGGAAGAAAATGTGGAACACAAAACCCAAGCCCAGAAAAAGGAATCTGAAGAAATCCAAACAGCTTTTGAGCATAATGCGGCAGTAAGCAGACAGGTTGATTCCAAAGCATGGCTCAGTCTATTTGGCTTGAAAAAGAATAATATCGACAAGCTATCTGTATTACAGAATATTGGGTTTCTGATGAAGGAAGGTATTTCAATTCCTTGAAATTTAGAAGTTAGTAAAGATTATGATCGCTGTTTAGGGAAGTATGTTAAATCCTCCTATGGAGACGGCTTATTTGTGAGAATAAGAAACGATAGGACTGGGGATGTTTATAACGTATGTCCAGTGTTAATTGTCTACTTTTAAAAGGTTACGGCTAGAAGAAGTTATATAAAGCAGCTGAAGATAAGAATTATGCAAGCTGTCGATTTATATAAAAGTCGTCTTACTTGGTTGACATCAGGATGCAGATCCGTTTTCGGTGTATTACAGGAACATTCAGCAATTTTTCTCATAGATATTAAAACACAATCCACTGAAATATTCTCGAATTTCATAAGGTCTTTCAAGCATCTTATTACCGGCCAGATCGCAAATATGAAGATGTTCAATGTGATTAGGTAGTAGTTCTATTCATTTTCCCTGACGAGGTAGATGTCAGGATAAACCTTTTTCGTTTTCAGACAAATTAGTAATTGTTGACGACTGTTCTTTAAGAAACTTGCTAGAATGGGCCAGAAAAATAGAACGGTTGACGGCTTTTAGTGTGAACTGTACTTCTGAATGCCTATCTAGGATAAATAAATTAAAAATGGTGAGTGTTATAGTTATTTTAACCATTTGGCAAAGTTACACCCAATAACATCTACATTTTCAAAAATAAGCATAAGTTTTTCCTTTCTGCTTTAATGTCACTGGATAAAAGACATAAAATATACTCAATATTTTTTGAGATAGTCCTTATATAAATTGGATCGTTAAAGAACGTCAAAACTATATTGCAAGTAATTGTTTGCAAACGCTTAGCTTACTTTAAGGCGGACCCAAATAACGCGTAAGACTACAGGGTGATATTCCATTTTAGCCGCGACCAGATATCAGGTGGCTGAAGAGTAACCAGAGATGAGTTAAACTGTTATTGAAATTGTTTTCATCACTACTTTTGTTATTTTCTTACTAAATTCTGTTTTCATCACGCGTATTTTTGACAGTCGATAGTAGTTGATGTCAGTTATCTTTTTCTTTCAATGTTTCGAGCTTCCGAATTCTGTCACTGTCGAGCATCCTTTTTGTTAGTTCTAAACGTAAAAAGGCAGAAGCTCTTACTTAGTTTCGTCACTGCTAGGGCCTCCGAAACCGTGTATCCTTTACAACAATTCTACTTATGTCTCTATGATATTTATCTAGATTAGTTCTTCAGATTTAGTCAGTCCTATCATATGCCATGTTTCAAGAGTTCGCTTTATTTTTTCATTCCATATGCTACATTTTTTGAAGTTTCTTTACCTACTGTATGCAGTTAAGCAATTCAACTTGTCGTATAAATATCTTTAGATCAAACATTGTCAAATGTTTCAGACTTAAGTAGCTTACACACTGGAAGAATACGATGATTTTCACCAGGGAGGAAAATAAAGCAAGTGAAAATCAATGAGATGCTCACTAGCGACTGATCCTATTCAGGTACCTGGGGTTCTAATGGGAAGTCGTGACCAGTAGGGTGCAGCATGTCGGGCTGTAGGGCAAATACTCACCGAAGACATTGGCTAATAGTCGTGCTATGTCGTGAATTGGCAGAAGTTGGAATTCGTGGGCCGTTGGATCAGGTCCTATTGGCTTAATGATCTACGGGCTCGCCTTGTAACCGGAAGGTCCTGGATTTGAACCCCGGTGGCGAGTGCGTACTTATGAAGAGTCCCAAGCTAGGACTAAACAGCTGTCCAGTATTCCCATATTTCCCAATGGTTCTCTAACCGACGTCAGTTCATGATGAAATCCTTTAACCGACCAACCAAATCCCTACAAACCAATACTTGAAAATGAATCAAAAGTTAATTGAAGGAAAAATGTTATCGGGATGCGAAACAGCAAGTGCCCCAAAAAGCTTCATCTTTTCTTTTTTATGACTCCGTGATAAACCAATCCATGTTTCATATAACCAACATGTGTAAGTTAGACTAAGTAAATATAAATATTTACCACCTCATATCATGTCACAACTCGGTGACGATTAAGGAAGTATTTGAAAATAAATATAATACTTAAAATTAGGCTTAATTATTCTTAAAAACACCTCATAAGAAATCATCAAGACGTATTTATTCTAGCTGCATTTTTTATGTTTGATTAATTTTGGTAATATTTCTAGGAAAATCAAACAATTATTACTACTGATGCGGTCGTCGACGATGATTTTGTTCGAATTATTACCAAAACTAAAAGAATTGTCATTGTGTGTAAACAACTATGAAAATTATATTTGTGTTAAATTGATTCACTCCACAATGCACAGACTTTCTGCAGACGTCATTAGGGTCTATTTTACTAAAGGGCAAGAGGTACAGGTGAATAATGTTGTCAATCCTTAGATTACCCACCTTAATAGCTAAATACCTACCTGATATTTTACGATGTACAGAGTAATCATCCTAAATGTACTATTTCGCTAATAATACTGGCGCTACGGGTTAGGATTAGACAATTAGAACCAGGCTAATTTAAGTTGAAATCCATGAACCGCTCATTAGAGCGAGCAAAACAAACAATGTATGTTCATGTCAGTATGTATTTTAACAAAGATTTTATATATTTCACCGTTTTGTCACCACGTATTATTTAACTTAGTGATTATTCAGTTGACGGTATACTAGAGCAGCTGAAAATACAACTGAGCTTATTTTAATGTCGAAGTGAAGTGAATCTAGCAGTACTTCAGCCATGTCTAAAATAATATTCTACCAACAAAAACTGTGTATGTGATTTCAACGAAAATAAACAATCTCTCCTAGAGAAACTGATGAGTTAGCCTGTTAATTAGTAGACTTACTTATTGCCAATTATCTGTTCATTTCTCCGGATATTTACGTTTAAATCTTGTCTCACTTGATAGATAATACATAAGTGATTAATTAGATTCAGTTGATAATGGAAAATAGTTACTGTGATGTCTTGTCAAGCTTTTGAGTTAATAATTTTAATTGATTGCTTATGAAAACATTATGACTTAATTCCAGGTCATGTAGCAGTTGATGCATCTGAAGTATTCAACAAAGAAATACGTTTCTAACAGGGGATAATTGTAACTTAAATATTACCACAAGTTACTCATTTTTAATTTCTAAAGGATAATCAACGTGTTAGTGATTCAGTGGTAAAATGCTTGCCGTTTAAGCACGTGATCCAGGTCGGATTCCGGAAGAAAAAACAACTAAACCCAGCCTAGTTTACTAGCCAGCAGTAATTCAGGAAAAGATGAAAGGCTGGGAGTGGGAATAGCAACCTCAGAGGGTAAAAACACCAACTGTCCATAGCCGTAAAAAGAATTTATGATGCTATCACCGTCTATATAACTTTCCAGACGACTAATTATCAGCATTCAGACGGAATCCAGTGGATCCCACTACTACTCACCATCCACGAAATTACTTCAAGTTAATCCTCAGGGATCGTTGAAGCTTTCACACTGGAAACTAAAGTGTCAGCAGAGACCAAACATTCCGGTCCAATCGATCAATCGGGAAATCAAAATTGAAATCAAAAGATTACTCTTACTGTTGATGCGACTGATATTATTATTTTTGTTTTTATCATCATTAGTATCATTACCGCTATAATGTGCAGCATTTTCATTGACCTACAAATAACTGTCATTAGCTGAAATTTTATGTATATTTAAAATTATCAATGTCAGAGTAAGCCAAGAGGAACACCTAATTGAAGATGATAATATTCTTTTAATTCTAACAATCTGAATCTTTATTATGTTTATTAAAGTCCAAAGGTTGAGTATGAACTAAATATTAATCAGTTGAAATTGTATTGGTCAGAATATTTGTCCATGGAGATAAACTGAAAGCAGCAATGCATACATCTCCTTTAAAATCTCTCCCACCTGCTCATTCATTTCTTTTTCTGTTTTCAATTCTTGCATCCCTAGGAGAAAATGAGGCTTCAAGTCTTGAACTCTTAGTAACAGTGACTTTATTGTTTTCCTAAGGGGTAGGGATGTTAGCATTACTCTAAACTTTCCCTCTTTTCCGCGATTACTACCGGCTAGTTGGGGTTTAGCAGTATTCTGGTTGGGATGGAATCCAGACCCTATGCATGGCTGGCGAGCCTTCTACCGTTGGAACATCAGCGAATTTCACTGACTAATGAAACACTAATGTATTTAAATAATTGTAAATAATCTTTATCTATTATTGTGAACTATATTATCTTATTTAAACATTGTTTTATGTTTTTATATTTAGAATTTTGAGGCAATATATCTTATTACTGAAGGCGAATCTTCTATGACAGCACCAGGGTTACTTGAAAGTGTTGTTAAAAGTTTGAAATACCCTCTTCATATTGTTTCTTATCGTTGTGAAAGTATGAAAACAATAGAATATTTGCATAACTTGTGCGCATATACTGGAGGACGGTAAGAATTAATTAAATCACAGTAATTTAATTGGAAATATCGTTAGTTGATTGCCTCTGTTGGTCTTTATTCACACAGATGCAGTAAAATATTTAAAGTTGAATCTTATAACATTTGGTAAAATAACTTTTGCAACTGAATAGACATTTGAGAATTGTTTTGTTTTCACCTCGGAGAGCATTAAACATGAATACATATGAGTTTAATTTTTTCAGTTTGGTAGTTAAAAGGTTACAGACAGTTATGGAAATTCAATGTGGACACAAACTAGGGTATAGTATTATATTGGTAATGTCATCTGTAAATACTGACCGATTCAACTGAGGACGTTTGTGAGAATGACTTTTTTCAGCCACTCATCTGTGATTGTCGACTATCTGAAAATTCAGATTTTTGTTATATATATAGTCTGATGACATCTTTTGAACAAGTCCATGGTATTCGTGTGGAACCATATATTTCTTTCATAATCTTCAGAGTGAATTAGTTGGTTTAAGGGTTTACGGGAGGTTTTTAAACTTCTTAGAGGATCAAAAGCTTATTATTACACTTCGTAGTAATTAACTTCCTAGCAGTAGTCTTTTAAGTTAATAACTGACATTTAATTACCTCATCTTACCTGTGTTTGACAGAGTTATTTTTGAAGTTAAAAGGAACCAACACCCTATAGTTTAGCAAACATATTAGAAAAAATTTGAACAAACTTTGATCTCTTTCAAACTTACTAACCATCTAATCATAAATGACTATTAAGTAGATTGTTGAAAAATGTGATTTTTACTCAAAAACCAATTGCATTTCCGTCCATATGGCAATAAGCCAAGGCTAGTGACACTGCGTGACTGCCTATACTTTGGTAGGTTGGGACAAAGGGCTTGAACATATGACCTGTTGTTTAGAAGTCTGATGCCTAGACCAGTATGCGACAGCTCTGAAGGTTAACTGCAATTTATGGAAATAAATTTTACGGTTAACTATAGACTGTTAGTTCGAACAGGTCATCAGTATTCAACATGCGTGACAGTATTTAATTTCAATCTGTTCACATAAGTAGTATATTTTGATACATCATAGTCAGTTCTACGAATCAATGTCTTTTAAATAAATTTATTCATCATAGTGGAATTAACATAGATTTAAACTAGTGTTACTTGTTGACTTTCTCCAATCCATCAACAATTTAATCGGCGAAATGACAACTTCACACTATTTATTGGTCATAAACGTTAGGAGCAACTTTAGCGTTTTTCTTATATAAGAAAATAGAATACTAGTTATGCTGTAATCAGACTGAAAAGATAGCTATAAACATAATAGAAAAAACAAACGGAGTATCGAAAAGTATTAGTGGTTCAAAAATTACTTGTTTCAGATTTATCATTACGCGAAACAGCCTTTTATTCTTTGAAATCTGAGTAGAATATAAAGCTTCGCTTCAAGTTTTGAAGTTTAAGTGTTTTTCTCACAGGGTAGCGTTGTTTGCTTCACACCCATTTTCGTTCTTTTCAGGGCTTTCTTCTTACCGGCTAGTAAAAACAGCGAGGTTTAGGAGTGCCTTAGGCATCAAACCCGTATCATGCACATGTCTGACTAGCATTGTACCACTGAACCAGTGAGTCACATAAGAGGTATTATTCAGCTTTGCGAAATACTGTACATTGGTCACTTTAGTGTTCTTAAAGTGCCTAATTAATCCTGCCATCACTCAGTTAGGTTTACATGAGAATACTGGAAATGCTATGAGTTTCATTTTGTAGACATTTCACCGAGCATAAGATCAAATTGATGTGCAAGAAGTCAAAAAGGAAAGGCTAAAGTTAGACACTTTTGAGCAGTAAGAAAAATCTATTATTTTTACTGTCCTCGAGATGAATCTGCATAATATACGTTCTACTTGTAAACTGACTACCTGTAAATATGTGCACCAAGGATACACCTTTGCCAAGAATCATTTCAATATAAATATTTGTGGTTACTTAATCCCTTAGAACTAGTTAGATTAGTTGTGGAATGCATTCTTTTTCTGTGATATACCTCTGCTGCATTTCAAGATGACTGTGTGATTCCATTAATTTGTTTGCTTTTCCCGACAAAAGTCTCTCAGATTTATCTTTCAGGACATTTTACAAAATCTAACCGAATGAATAAATAGGTAGAGGATTTCAAAACTATTTGTTAAACATCATTGACATTAGTAATTCACCAATTCAAATAAGGCCGTTTTTATTAAATAAATAACTTTTTATTTTGCTTTATTGTGGAAACAGCTTTCTCATACCTTGCTAATTTCGTAGTTAACTATTAACTCTCAATTTTATTGCTTTCCTTTCCTTTAATTCTTTATTTTAAATTCTCAAATTTCGTTTAATATATTTCTGCTTATTAATTGTCGGGTATTGGGTCATTGGGATTTGATTAATTCCCAGTGTGATCACGAACAGACTAATGAAATTGTAATTTCAATGATGAATTGATGAAATTCTGTCACATAAGTTTCAAAACTGTTACTTTAGTTGGATCCTGGTTGACGTCAGGGGAGTTTTCATAATAAAATTAAAATCAACTAAGAACTCTTTAATTACGACAAAACACTAGACGGCTGTTTAACTACAAGTTGGTTCTAGTTATGCTTGTAACACAATGAGTAGAAGGAGCTCCTAAGGTTAAACTGAATACAAGTCGTTATAACTAAAGTTGGTAGTGTAGATTGATAGTAGCGAAATAAAATATCAGTATTATATGTGGTACCTATTATATATTTAGGCTTATTACAGGAGATAATCTCCAGAAAAGATACTGCATGTGGAAGCATTTTCACGAAGTGTAGAAATTTAATGCCTGAAGTTTGATGGCTAGAACTTTGGAAAGAAGAATTCGAAAAGGAAAGGACTCGCACTACAAATATGTATCCTGACTCCGAGTACGGCATAAATATCACTCCATGGAACGTGCCACATATTTACAAAGATGTAAAGCAGCAGGGCCAGATGTTTTTAATTTGGAAGCGCTGATAAATGGTGGTATGGAATTATTGATTGGATTAGTTATAATATCAGTTTGTGTGTTGAAATTGGAGGTAAATTCATCAAGCTGGTGAAAAACCGTTGGTAATTTTGTTTTGTGAGAAAAAGAGTAAACCTCTGACTAATAAACACAGGGGAATGAGATTGACTGGTATAGTATCTTAGGTCCCTCGGTTCATTTTTCGAATAATTGGAACTCGACGAAAACAAGTCCAGAATTCCAAGTAAACTTCAGACCTAAAGGACAGAATCTCTACCTTTCCGTATTTCTTGACCTGAAGGCATCATTTGACTAAGGAGACTCAGTAGTGTTGTGGCTATGACTAGCTGTGAAGGGAATGTTGAGAAATTGCTATTGTTAAGCCCCATGTTATCATCCTTATCTAGTTTTATTGCAGACTTATTAATGTGCTTGTCTGTAGAGTCGACTTTAGTGTCTCAGGAATTCACTTGCACTAGGAAAAGATTTTAATCTAGGGAACGTGGAAGATATAGTCATTTTATGTAGATTGCATGGAGGATTTCACCATGAGGTGATATCAGTTAGAGAACCACTGGAAAACCTGGGAGTACTGGATAGCTGTTTCGTCCTAGTCTGGGACTCTTCATCAGTACGCACCACCGGGGTTCGAACCCAGGACCTTCTGGTTACAAGGCGAGCTCGTAGACCATTGAGCCACCGGGACTCGATCCAATGGGTTCTAGTGGGAATCCGTGACCAGTAGCATACAGCAATTTGAAGATGAGGCAGTAACTCATCGAAGAAGACATTGCTAAGTTTATTAAGTCATTGAAAGCTTTACAATCAAAACATTCATTTCAGAGAAAACAATTACACCAATACAGTGTTATGTTTTCGGTGAGACATAACGCTTTGATCCTCTGTCTTACATCGGTTAGATTCTTAATACTACTGAACAACTTCTAACAGTCATGAAATATTAGTCAAGTACTTCCAAGTTTTTCAATCATTCTCAGAATGTTAACGATTCATGGCGGAAACTATGTGGAGATTTATTGTTACTTCAGTAACTTTCAATATATATTTTTAGGTTCGGACGTCATTTATTTTAGATAATGGAATTTTCATTTCTCAAACTTTGTATCTTTTGATGGTTTTCAGAAACAACATAATACTAGAGAGCAGTATGAACACCACAAAAATATTTCCTCTTGTTGACTAGTTCAAAATTTTTGACTTGCAGCAAAACTATAATCCACAATGAAGACAGTGATTGGGTCTACTTAGATTCAAAGTATTGAAGCTACCTACCAATCATTCGGCTGGCCCAGTCAACTGACTGACGTAGTTTCGACGTAGGACGTTACACAGAATTACGGCATTTGAAGTCACCACACCCCATGTATTACACAAAGGCAGAAAAGGAAAACATATTCAAAAAACTGTGATAAGTAGAAATGTATAGGAGAAGGAATGATTATATGGAGATACATGTGGTCCTAATGGACCTGTTAGATTGCATGGAGTGAATGAATTTGCGTTATTGAGCACGGTTTCTAGTCATATCATTAAAAGTTCCAAACTGTTAGTTCTTAGCATCTTCAGGAACGTAACCAGACAGTCTACACCTAGTTATGTGACTCAAATCAACAGTGAAAGATTTTATGGATCCATAGTAGGTTTCTACCTGATCACAATACTCTAACCCTTTTCAGATTAATAATAATAATAATAATAATAATAACAGCTTTATTCCAAACAGTATTTGTGGTACAGGTATGGAATTTTCAGCGTGCATTACAGTATATTGCATCTAATTACCTCATAAATTATATAAGATTTTTAAAAATCAAAAATACATAAAAATAAAATAAATAAGTTATAAATAAATAAAATAAATAAATATTGAAAATTAAGAAAAAAAACAGCGTAGAGTATTTCATTTCAAACAATGCACCACAGGATTTGGAATATAAGGTTAATGTGTGGTTGTAGATGAGAACAACAGTGTAGTAGTAACGAGGAAAGGAAAACAAAAACTAATGGGACTATTTGTTAGAGTGCCGCAGTAAGTTTATCGTGTCATACCTAACGGATTTCTCATCACATAACAGCTGTGCCAGATATGGTATTGTGGAGTTTTTGTATTTGGTAGTCCTAGCATATAGCCTCCTATAGCTGCTTCTAGTTCTTCCAGATGAAATGCAAGGAGATAGATGCGTATAGAGAGGATGCTCGGGGTCCGACAATATTGTATTCGCTAGTTTCTTACATGACATTATATGTCTATCTACAATAGTGTTCACCAGTTGGTCTAACGATATCCCACTTGCCCTACTAACAGCTTTTAGTGCCCTTCTCAGCGAAGCAAAGTCTTTCTTAAGTAGTCCAGGAAAGACTAATGGGGAGCAGTAAAGGAGGATGGGTAGAATACAAGAATTTACAAATTGAGAAAGCAAAAGCTGCTTTATGCCAGACTGCCTAAATTTCCTAATGTAGAACGTTAAGCGAAACATCTTTCTAGTAACTAGCAAGATGTGGGAAGACCAGGAAAGATCGGTGGAAAAACTCAGCCCAAGGAACTTCACATTAGATGTATTTTCAACCTCTGTGCCGTCAATGAGAGTGGGGCCATGTGAGCTAACTAGTTGCTGTAGGTCACATTTACGTCTGAAGGTGAAATTGACTACCTGACATTTAGACGGATTAAGCTTAAGTCCGTTTGAAGAGGACCACTGACTAATTTCCGACAGAAAGCTATTTAATTTGGAGCAATCTGACTGACAGTTGACAGGCATAGAGACCGAGAGGTCATCGGCATACTTAACAAAAGTGGCTACATCAGAATGTGGCAAGTCATGTAAGAAAAACGAAAACAGAAAGGGAGAGAGAACAGCGCCTTGAGGAACGCCTGCTAAAGTAAGTGAGGTAGTGGAGGATTTTCCATTGTAGACGGTGTACTGCTTCCTTTCAGAAAAATAGGAATGCAACCACTTATTTGTCCAGCTTTCAGCCTGTGTTGCAGCAAGCTTACTTAGCAAGAGAGACCTGGGAACAGAGTCAAATGCAGATGTGTAATCAAGGAAGGCACAGCGAACGTATTTAGCCCCTTTATCTAAACTAGAGACTATGCTATGGTGGAGGACGACAGCGGCATCTAACGTACTCCTACTATGTTTATAAGCAAACTGGTTGGGGTCGTTGAAAGGTTTTAAAGAGGGATCAAGATTAAGTAGAATAAGTCTTTCCATAACTTTCAAGAAAGGTGAGGTAATTGAAATAGGTCTAAACTTAACATTAGGTCCACTTGTAGATTTAGGCACTGGAACGATCTTGATGTTTTTCCATGATTCAGGTATAATACTTTTGGAAAACGATTCGTTGAAAATGTCAGTTAGCGGGGAACACAAGATGTCGGCACACTTCTTAAGGATGACAGCAGGAACACCATCAGGACCGAGGGACTGAGTAGGCTTGAGAGATTGAAGACACTTGAGGACATCATTCGTATTAAAGCATGAGAAGCAGTCATTGTTTACACTATTTGAGTTAGGAATCATAACATTTGCTGGGATACATATGAAGGATTCATTTAGCATGTTAACATCTACAGAAATATCATTCAACATTTGCTTACCACCTGTGATTTCCTTTAATAACTTCCACATATTTGATGGGGATTTACATGAAAGAAACTTCTGGTTATACTTTTCTCTCCGAGGAAAGCAATGACTAGTCATGTATTACACATGTCCTAGCCATCTAAATCGATGTAGTTTCACAACTTCATCAACTGACTTTCTGTCCTTACCTAACAATAAACACCTAAGTCCATTATTACTCAAGATATTATGCCACAACATGGGAGGTAAAATGCAAGCATCTGCGGTCAAAGACAGCTGTTTGCGCTCTATCCAGTCATGTATGACTTATTTATGTGGTTGTCTGAAGACACTGAATGGCAAACATAGTCTTAAATCTGTAACCAGTGAGTTATCGTTATGAATGAATTTCTCTTTACTTAGTTCAAATAAGTAATCATTAATGGATAATATGTGTCAAGCTACCAAATAACAGCGATTGATACCTTTGTTTGTAATTTTTCCCGATATGAAAGTGTTGCAGTATAGTCTTGCAAAAGAATAATAATAGTGTTCATCAATCTTGATCAACGTTTTCAGAAATATATCAAGGTATGGTTACTACGGATATGTTTGTGTGGTGTATTAGTTAGCCATCAAATATTTATTTGTTTAACATACGTTTAAATTTATGAAGAGATCACTGAAGAGTAAATAGCGTCATATTTCTAGTCCTGTGTACTGACGCAAACTGAATTGTACCACTGAAGTTCATAATATGGTCAATAAGCTAGTTGACTCACTACCACGTCGTACTTCAAATTAATGTTAGATAGTTAAAGGTAATCAGCAGGAAGCCCTGGACCTGGATTTGGTGGTTTTTTAAACTCATTACTAAGGTAAATCTGCAATCTTCGAGGTTACTGTGCTAACTAGTGCCAACAGGTAAGAGGCCTAGATCAAAGGTTTTTTACCGATTGTCTCCAACCATCTAACGGCAATACCTTTGGATTCTAAGACTGACTGTGTAAATAACGTTTCAGAAAATGAAAGAAACTTAGTAGTGACATATTCTTCTATGTTTATAACTATAGAATTCGCTCAACATAAAAATTGTTTTCCCCCATTTTAATATCCCTTTACATCCTCTTTCTTTTCAAATCAAAATAGATTTCATGCTTATTGTGTCAACATGCATATTCCATTATATTCACCAAGTTGTTGGGATGCAGAACAGTTTCAACAATCACTTCAGGTGAATACAATTGAATACGGTGGTCCCCCCAAAGGGTGGGGTCAACAAGAAGATTGTATATTAATATTTGAAGAATTAGAAGAAGCTCGATCTATATTACAACGAATTGAACAAGTACTGCGTGATTTTGAGTCTACACCAAACTCCATAATTCAAGAAAACAATAGTAAGATAGCATTTCAATGAAATTCTGAAAGTGTACTAATATTTGCTTCTCTCAATTACTTATTTTTTTATTTATGGAATTTATTGAAAAATTCTAAAAGTTACAAAAAGAGTATGAAACGAGTTAGGTAAACTACAATTTATAAAATCAGAACACCTTGTACATCGACTAAATCACTGACTGTTGGTCTGAGTTGTGTAAAAATTGCCCGTTTCTTTTCAAGTGTCTCTAAGTAATTCATTATCACAGAATGAAGAATTTTGTCAGGATGAACAGACACTGATCATAATAGAAGTGTTAGATTTTTCTTCCTTTGAATCTGAAACAATTCATGTTACTTAGTGATCACCGCATTTATATGTTAGGCGGTGTCGACTTTAATGGACTAACGTCTGGCATGTGTCTTCAGAGAATGATCACTTTCACCTAACAACAATGTTAGCTAAATCATGATTTGACGCAGAGAATACTAAGCGCAACATGTCATCATCAGTGACCTGAAATGATGTACTCCGTGATAAGTTCTGAGCTGTTCTGTTTGTCTGATCCCTGTGCACCGGATATTTTTAGCAGACCACGTCATGGGACTAATTTTAAGCACACTACATCTTGACATCATTTTATTAAGAATAAAAAGGTTAAATTAAATTGATGATGATTTAAAGATAGGCGAGACGGTTACCTGAATTTCTCAAAATGAATAAATAGTGTGGCGATTACTGAAAACACTGACAATAAGACAGTATTGCCTTTGTATTATCCGGGTAATATGCGCTCCAAAAACCAATCGTGTGGTCTACCATTTGTTACCAAGTTTGAATGACAAGGATATATCTTTCCTTTTTCTCAAACTAAAAAAATTAGAATTTTAAGTTATTTTACAAGTATTTAGAAGAACTGAAACTGACAGAATGATTAGAATAGTATTTCAAACGTCACTATATATTCCATAAGATATAGACTGATTAATTATCATAGGTATTTGGGAGCGATCGGCTGGAAGCCGTGGCCCTAGATTTTGCACTTATGGGTACTTATCACCACAGTTTACCTACAAACTCGGCGGAATTAATATACTCTTGGAGATTCTAACTGACGTCAGTGCATGAAGATGAAGAGATACCTAGTCTGGCAACCACAGTGCAAACTTCACCGATAGAATTCATTTAGCATCAAGGTTAAAGACTGGACATATGGCATCAGTTACTGTCCAGTAACTAATCAACGTAATGACTTTTTCAGAAAGTAAATCAAATGTTAGATGAGTAATTAATGTAGATAAAAAATTATTGTATATTGTTTGGCTATTGTATAAGTGGTCACTCATCTAACAGCTTTCTTCTTTACCTGAAGATACCTAACTAGCAACAGCAAGCATTTACCATCATCAATGGAAGAAATCTAAAGGAAGTCATCTCCTTCTTTTATGTAGGCAGCAACTTTTCAACTACAGGCGGAACAGATCAGCATGTCAAAGATAGCCAGGATCGTAAAATCAAAACAGATATGCATTACCCTGAAGTAAACGTGGAAATCTACTGCAATCAGCATGATGAACAAGATCCGGATCAACAACACTAATGCTAAGTCGGTGCTTCTACATGATCCAAAGACTTGAAGTGGCACCAAAAGCCTTTCCACCAGGCTGAACACTTTTATGAACAGCCGTCTACTGAGTTGGATGCTAGTGACTAGATGGCCAGCCAAAAAGCACAAGCAATGAAGAACTTTGGTAATAAACCTACCAAGGACCTTTTAGTTAACAAATGTGCAGATATAAATAGATAGGGATTTGAGGAAGAGGATTTGAAGAGACCACCGAGTGAAATCACACGCTTGGCAGGCACTTGAATGGAAGCTGAATGGGAAGCGCGAGTTGGGATTCTGACGGTGACATGGAGGAGGTCGTGTGAGGAGGAGGTGAAACGTGGTTAGCTAAAAAGACATTTCAGAGAGTATGATGAAATGAAGATGTGTGGCTAAAACCCTACCCCACTTAAAACCCAAGAGGATAATGATAAATATAATAATAATACTGTGTGCTAACAATAAAATATCTGTAGCAATAAGACCTAGAGAAGTTATTGAAAACAATTCTTCACCTTAATTCTTCTTGTTAAGTATAAATAATAAGGATATGCAAATCACGGAGAAAATATATAATTTTCAAGTATTGGTTTTGTAGGGATTTTGTTTGATTGTATGGAGGATTTCACCATGAGCTGACATCAGTTAGAGAACCACTGGAAAACCTGGGAGTACTGGATAGCTGTTTCGTCCTAGTTTGTGACTCTTCATCAGTACGCACCCACCGGGGGTCGAACCCAGGACCTTCTGAGCCATTTGGACCCGGTCCAGTGGCTACGAGCTCGCCTTGTAACCAGAAGGTCCTGGGTTCGAACCCCGGTGGTGCGTACTGCTGAAGAGTCCTAAACTAGGACGAAACAGCTGTCCAGTACTCCCAGGTTTTCCAGTGGTTCTCTAACTGATGTCAGCTCATGAATAAATCCTCCATAAAATATATAATTCCTTGCTTTCGATAATGCATATTCTGTTTCACTGTATAGCGTAATAATAATAACAATAATGAAAGTGTTAGGTTACAACGTGATAATTCAAAAGTAACTCAGTCACAATGAAATGTGAATACTCACCTAGTAAAGTAATAAGTCTCAGGATGAGTACCACGTAGAACGTCTTAATGACGAACAAACAGCGGTTCACTGAAATTTTGATCTTCAGTAATTAAAGTATTTATATACAATTGTAAATACAAATAATTTTGATGTATTTGAAGGCTGAAGGTATAAAGCATGTTGTTAGAATATTCAGATTAAATTCAACTTCCCTCGGAATCTTGCTAGTTTCAATGGCTTCAGCACGTGTTTTATAGAGTCAGCCATATTTGCAATAGAAGAAATCTGCTGATAACAAAGAAGAAAATGTGAATTGTACTTATTCAAAGATTTTACTTGTGCATAGCATATTTTGATTTTTAACAATTACCGCACTCATGAGCTCCTTATGGTAAAGCGGTAATAGTACTTCCAACAAATTTTTTGCATACAGTTAACTAACAAGAATACATTGTTCTTACTATAAAGATTGAGTCATTGACTGTAATGAAAATGTTTCGAGATTTTTTCAAAATATAGTGGATTTTTGTGTAAACTAAATCACTATTGTAGACTTGACTGGCTCTACGATTGATCCTAAGCTTTCATTTCCTCCTCATACGACCTTCTCCATGTCACCATTGGTATTCCAACTCATCGCTTCCCAATCAACTTCCACTCGAGAAACTGGGGAGCGTGTTTTGTCACTCAGTGGCCTCTTCAGTTTTCGTCCAGTTCACATCCCTTTGCCGCAGACATTCTACATCATATAAATATTAAGATAAGACAAATTGTGTCAAAGTTTATTGTAGTACAAGTACAATATGGAATAATAGTATTCTATTCGCTTGTACTTTCCTTTGCAGTGTTCATATTTCCTACCAGTATCACTAACTGCGGCTTACTTCTTGAAACCTTTACTTTTCACACGATTATAAATCCAAAAATACGTCGTTTGATCTCATTTTCTTATTGAGCAAACACTTTATACGGACTTAAATGACAGTCAAAACTAATTAACTATTATTATTCCATCTTCTACTTGAATCACAATACAGCTTCTGGTATAATTATAATTTATCTTTACTAGCACTGTTGTATGCTAACACTAATGGATTTTATACACGAATTCCCCTTAATGAATTTGAATAAAGCAATAACAACACAGGTTGCAGAATAAAACTGTAACATTGTTTATTTTGCTGGTATTCTGTCAACTACATGACAATGAAATTTAACATATTTCATTTCATTGGAGATCAAATGTGGAGTAATAATCAATTATGATCAAGATATATGAATGAATCGCATGTTAAGTTTGTAAAATATTGGATATTGCTGAGGTGTATAAATTACTCAAGACATTTCGACTTCACTACACATATAAGTACAGAAGTATTCTATATTTTACTAACTTAATATTTGACTCATCTATATACCATGATCATTCTTAATTACTGTTCTACAGTAAATCTCCAGTGAATTGAAGTATGTTAAAACTGTAATAGAAACATGAAATCTTATTATTTCAGTTGTATACAGCCTTCAAAATACCGATGAATTAAATAATGAATCCATTTTATCCTGTTACATGTGACGAAGCTGCTACTGAGAACAACTATTCCCTCTAATTATGCTCATTTTGTCCATGTAAATCATACTGGTGTACTGTATTGCCACTGTTAAAGCATTTCATTCTGTTTACTTCTGCTTGCAGATTTCAGTTCAAAAAATAGTCAACATACATCTATTACGCATAATTATGATGAATATGGCTGGAAACGTGAAGAGCATATGTCATCAAAGGAATGGTTAACTATTCATGGTTTAAAAGCTCAACGCTTAGATTTCTATGATTTACTGGCCAGTATTTCATTTAAACACTGTGATGGTGTAGTAAATGTTTTAAAGCCTCCAGCAGAATATGATAAGACTAAAAATCTATTTATCACTACAAGATCAGAAGATGATGATGATATAAACAGACGAGATGAGGATTTCGAGATAAGCAGTCAGCCAGAAACAAAAGTTAAAAATTCATCAGCAATTTGGACATCTGACGCAGTAAGTTCACTGTTTGCTTTTTCTTAGTGTGCATTAGATCTTATTCACATATTTAGCTGAATCTTCTTTTTTCCAATGCTTTCCGAGTGACATGTTAGGTTTCAGGTCTTCAAGATACAGTAATAGTGTTGTGCGTTTTTACTAGAGGGGGGGGGAGATGTCGCCAGCCTCAGGCCGAACCCTCCCTTCCTCAGGATGTTTAGAAGTACGTCGGCGAGGAATCGAATCTGGGCCATTCAATTGGCTGACAAGCGTTCTACCGACAAACTACCGACTAAATGTTCGACCAAGAGTTTCCCCAAAGTATTAAATTTACCGATTTATTTAGCTAATTATCGAATCGGTTGCATATTTGCGAGTGTAAAACCTTTGTTTGTAGCAAGTCAATCTTGCTTAGCACCTAGATGCTCGATTACATGTATTTACATTCTTTTAAGTCTTCCTTTATTCACCTCCTTTATGAAATGTGGTTCGCTTGTCAGTTACTTGACAGTATGGTTACTAACCTGGCTGGATATGACACTTGGCACAGCGAATTATGTACCCACTTACCACTCAAAATTTTAATCAACAATAAGGACATTATATTCCAACTACTTAAATATTTAGGACCATTTCTGAAAGACAAAAATCCTCTCGATCTTCTATTCAGTGAAATTTATTCAGTATTTTTCGTTTAAAATAAAGCGCAGCTTTTGATGAATAGCTATCTGTTCAATTTATATTTCATAATTATTACCAAAGATAAAGTGAGAGGGTATTTTGTAGTAAATATAGCCTGATGTTTAACTTCTGTAGTAAAATCAGATTAGTTTCTATCAAACTGTAGGTGTCGAAGATGTTCTTCGAAGAACACGATGTTCAGCAAGGAGAGTTGTTTCAAAGAATCTATTATCGATCTAATGTATAATCTTTCGAGAACTTGATTTAGTGAGAAATTTTAAACACTAGATATCAGTAACGAAAGGAAATATTTGTAAAGAAAATTAAAAGACGATTCGGCGAAGAAAAGGATTCTTTATTGACGAAATCACCTTCAGAGGCTGTACAGTAGTATTTATATTTACCATAAATGTATAGTAGTTCATCACTGAGTGAAAAGGGGGGTGGTGAAATAACTGATTTAATTACTCAGAAGTGACCTCGAAAGTAAAAATAAAAGTTGCATATTACGTAATACTCGACAACATAAAGCATTAGAAATTTGATAAGGTTAAAATTGTTATTGAGTGAGAAAAAAAGGCACTTGAGTGTCCACTTAACAAGTGTGAAGAGGGTGGAAAAACGTAAGAAAGTAACATGTGAGAGTGATAATAGTGAATTAATTAATAAAGTAAAAGCTAAGTAATCATGAAAAATAGAAATAAAATATTTACAGAAAACGACTAGTGAAGAAGTTTAGGCCATGGTAGAATACGAGACTGGACAAACTTTTTCTGTATACAGAGTTCGGGGTTGCCTCCGCCTTACACAAATGCCGAAAATCAACACCTTTTGTACCACTTGGTATTACCTTGTGGAGAATCTTGAAAGACGATTTCGGAGGAACAGCATGGCTTTAGCTAACCAAGTGCTCGAGAATTGAGCTACTAAATGTCTTGCGTCGTCCTATTGCTAACCATGCAGGAGAGTGTTCAAAGATGCCTTCGAAAAGTTCGCGCAACCAATATAACTAGCTCAGCAGGAACAAGTGAATTTATAAACAAACACTGAGGTGGCAGTTTATCCTCCACACACCTAATGATCATTTGTCAGCTGTAGAAATCGATCCGTAGCCCAACCACAAAGAAGGCTATTCTCAGTGATCTGTATAAGCGGTTCTTCAGAATCTCAGCAACGGTATCACCTCTTAATTCAACTTTCACAAATATATTCATACTTAAGCATCCAGTGATAAGAGAGCAGAGTGTGCATTACACAAAATCGTCCATGAAGTAAGACTTTGAAAGGCATATGTAATGACTGAGATTACCCGCATTTGCAACACTAATATAAAAACAAAATATGAACACTGTTTTGGGGTGTAATTCCATCACAGAATAATTTTATTTGATAACTACGGATATTAATACAGAATTATTTACCAATGATGTTTCGAACACAATTCATTCCTCATAATCATACCAAGGCTACTATAAGCAATAAATTGTGTTCGAAATATCATCAGTAAATAACTATGTATCATTTTTTTTTGATTTACAGCTTGATTCCACACTGTAATTTTGGTACAAGTATGGAATTTTCAACATGGATATCGGTGGCCCAAATTTCGCAGGCCGACCATAGATATCAGGTGTGCGTCGGCGCGGGCTCGAACCCCGGACCATGTGCATGGTCAGCGAGAGTCCTAACCACTGTGCCACCGACGCCAGTTCTTATGAAATAAAATCATCCTATGATAAGGGCAGTAGTAACACTAATAAACGAGAAATTAAATTCTCGATAACTGAAAAAATTCACCACACTTTCCTTGTGAAGCCATACCATGATAGTGTAGTATGATGGTACATAGTACTGACTACTGTGAGTAGCTGGAGACCACGTAAATAAACCAGAAGTGGCCGCTCAATAACTGTGAAAATTTAGATAAAAAGTGTTTTGTATTGCCAAAAAATGAGTCCAATTGCTAATGGTAACCAGTGGACTATAATCAGAAACTGTTTAAATTGAAAATAATCATAATAACAACAGTAGTAGTAAAGGAAGGGTAGAGAGATTAATTTAATAAAGCTGAAAAACAAATAGATATTTTGATCCCCTTTTTTTCCTATGGCTAGGGTAGATAGACGAACTGATCACAGTTATTAGTTCGCGAACGTTTGGCCTCAGTACATGAATAGCCGAGGTCTCTTCAATTCTTAAAAGTTGTAAAAGAAGAGAATATGATAGGTTTGCTTGGATTCTATAAGTCTATTCTTAAAATCATTGTTAGGATTAGTTGGCTGATGAAAGTCGATCTATTTTCCTCAAATAGAGCTATTCACACCATTTCTTCCCCTGATAGAGAGATGGACTTATTTGAAATAGCATGCCGGCAAAATTTTACAAAGTGTCTTGGTAGTATGGAATGCAGGTTTACTTGCTTGTTTGAATACCTTTTGCTCAATATCAATGATAAGAGGTGACAGCCCTGAAACAGTTTGTTGCACTGTAAACTAGAATTATTCACAGTTTATTGCTACCCAAAATAATAGTAATGTGAAGCAGTTTACTTTTTTTGAGATTTCACGTGGTGCATTGTTTTTATGCCATTTTACCCCACCATCGGAAATTAGACTAGAGTAGACGTAAAGAATGATTTTTAAGTGTTTGAATTGTTGTAAATAATATGTAGAAATATAGATTTGACTATGAAACAGTGCAGTTTAAATAATTGGTGAAAATCTGTTGCTCTGATTTGAATTTAGGTTACCAAGGTGAAAAAAGGTAACCTAATACTGCTTTACACTGTGTTTCACTTTCATTTTAATTCCATTTATTTCAGTAGTCAGTTCCATACCATTGTTAATGACTGTCCCTTGACACTAGGCATCCTATTTAGTGTTAAATTAGTAATGTTACAGGTATTTCAAAATGTTTTACTTACCTCTTACTTTATTTCAAGATTGTCCAACCAAGGCTAATCAATGCACAATATTGTAGTAATTTTGTACATGTTCGCGCAAAAGATGGTACTATAGTACATGTACAAGTTACACAAGAGCTCTATAGATCATATTCACGACGTATGCAATCTAGACTAAATGCTATAAGGCATCGTTTGAATTTTTTAAGACAAGGATCAAGGGAACTATTTGGAACAATAACAGAAGATGATGTAAGTCTGTATTTTTTTGATAATTACTCTTTAATGACTATATGCCTTTTGTTGGGCTTTTAGTATTTTGCTACTAGATATTAGACAGCTAAATGTAAAAGGATAAAATTCTTGAGGGAAATGCTTCTTGCTTTTTGTAACCGTAAGGAAATTACTTTTTCTCGTTACCTCACATTTTTTACCATTCATTGCTGTAAGCAGTAACGTACTACTCTTAAGTAGACAACCGTATTTTAATTACCGACAAATCGTACGATATTTGAAATCTAGATTACCTTTATTTTTTCATCATACGCATGTAAATACAGTACATTGTTATGTAAAGTCAGTTGACCTGTTCCCTAGATTGCATTAAAGACTAGGCTCATCGGTTTAAACACTAATTTTTCAGTCTGTGATCCCTAGAGTTTGAATTCTTCGCCATCTCTCTCTCTCTTCCTAGGCATCTGGGTTGCATCACCAAGCCTCACACAAAGAGTGTGGCTACTGGAATGGTAGGTGGTTGATTTGTTTTGGGGAGCTCTTTTCAAGCTGAGGTTCAGCATAAATCTTCATCAACTGGCACATTTCTCACTCTACGTGATCTTTTACCTACAACTTGTCGTCGTATTTGTAATATTATCTGACTGAAATACAAGTATACAAACCAAGCTTTCTGTAAGACTATATGGACAGATGACAAACACTATTATTTGGTTTATGTTCCTTGTAGAACATACCTTTTAAGAGAAGTATTACTAGTAAGATCGCAATAAAGTGACTTGAAATTGCTAGTTTGATGCTGACTAGCAGTAGAATTCAAGGAGCGCGTTTCACCTTATTTGGGGGCCGTCAGCTAAAAGTATCTGTCCCCCGGATGAGTTGTTATATAAGGTCAGTTTGTCTTGTCCTCAGGACTCACAGATGATCTATCACGGCTGAGGGTGAACAGTCTCCGATCTTCCACTCGAAATGCTCGCCTGTGACCACATGATCACAGCCTCCTAACTGCCTTCATGTGGTGGGGGTGTTCTACACAAAGTGTAAGCGAAAATGCGAACATCTCGCGCTTACAAATGGACTTGTAGACATGGAAGTCTACATGGGGTGGTGCTGGAAAACTCCGATTTCAATCCTATGATGTGCGTGAGCTGCAGACTTCTACAGGATCAAATGGCATATGAGCTTATTTTGATCACTGGCGACCATGGGAAAGGAGCTGCTGATGCTGTTCCATTGCCTTTATTTCAGACTCCGAGTCAAGGGCTTGAAAGTGGTTCTTCAAGATAACCCACCACCTACTTTGGTCTGAGCTCCCAAACAATATCCTGGCCATCAAATGAACTATGAGGTTTTGTGTGGTGCATCTCTTGGTTCCCAATTTTTTATTTCAATAATTATTATAACAGTCCTCAGACGAAAGAAATTTTGTCAGTGGCGACTTGAATTATTGACTTAAGCACACAACATTCAGTGAGTTTCTGGACTGGATGCCGATTCTCCTACTTCATGCTAGACAGCTGGTTAGTATTTTTAGTTGCCACGCAACAAGATAGGCTCAGAGACTAGTGGGTGGTACATGAAAGACCTGTTATACTTAAACGAGTTCAAACTGATATTCGGGACTCACTTGTATGCAACATCAAGAGTCAACATGACATTTCAAAAAAGACTGTTCACTCCAATATAAATCAATCAGCACAAAATACAAAATGATTTAAACAAAAAACAACAGATGTTTGTGGCACGACAGGTGGCTCTTATAGTTTAGTGGCCTAGTGGATAAAGCTTTGGCGTTAGGAGCAGTAGGTGCTGGGTTCAGGCTTCAGTGTGATCAGTACCATCATTCAGTGGGGAGTAAGTACATTCAGATGACTAGTCCCAAAAAAGATGAAACTCATTTTCCTGAATTTCATTGCTAGGTGAACACAAAACAAATATCCTATTTATTCCAACAAATCAGATTTATTTTGATCAATTAAGTTGATTCTAAAATATGTAGTGTTTAACTGATTACTTTTTTATAGCTTCCTCTTTCTTCTCACATCACCTAGGTGTATGTCTTAATTGATACTAGTACATCAATGTTGTCATGTATCGAATTTGTCAAGGAAAAGTTACTTCAATTAATATATGAACAGTTGAAGTATAAAAACCGTTTGAATTTAATAGCTTTTAACTCAATTATCAATGCATGGAGTAGTCATTTGCAAAGCACTACAGAAGGCAATTTAAAAGTAAGTTTTGTTACTCTTCTTTTTTTTAAAAAATTACAGTGTAAAAAATTTTGTGCGATAAGTAGTCTTCTCCAATCTTGACAACTTTCAATGAGGTTTGAGATTTCGTTAATATATTTATCCTTTTATGAGTAATTATTGTAGAAGTCTATATTCAAAGCTAAGAAGCAAAGGTCACGAATAATTCTAGGGATTTCAAAAGCGTTGGAGCCGGTAAGTCTAGAGAATGAAGTCACTGCACTGATTTCTCTCTAGGAATTAATTAGTCTGATTTGCCCAGTTCAGAATGTTGATACTGACTGAATTCTATCACTCAGTATTGCAATGGGGTCATCAAGTTATATGACTCTCTATCACAGTGCACTTTGGATAGCTGTTAGATGGTTGAAGGCCTAAATAACTCAGTGGTGATGTCTTCAACTGACTGAGTGACTTGGTTTCCAACCCCTGAGCTGGCATCAGTCCCTCTATGAATACAGATATGTGTTGATGACACGTAGTCATAGATACAAAACCGAAGTCCTTAAGGCCTCCCAGAATTAACAAAGATTATTACTAAACTTCCTGTATAATACAAGAGAATGGTAGCCAATGCTCTATAAGTGTGATAATTATAAGATTGCGGCCAATGTACGAACATGTACAACTGAGTTCCACAGAATCAATCATTTATTATAAGTGGTGAAGACTGATCATTATGAGCAAGTCAACCGACGAGGATCTTTACAAATATTTAATATTTCAAGTCAACTAATATTAAATCAAATTATTAATTAACCATTTGGAATAGATTTCTAAAATACTCGTGCAAAACTATAATTTTCAGATATGCAATGATTATTTAATTTCAATGTTAAGAGCCTTCTAAAACAGAAGCATACCGTGTGATAAATCACCCCCACCAAAACATCCATATTCGAGTTTAATCCCCGAAAACTATAATACAGCAGTCCTATTTGTTGTCAAATGATGAGATCTACTCATTTATTCATGAATAAGCTAAAAAGACAAGTAATCCAAGTTAGATTTTATGACAAATAAGAATCAGTCTGAATAAGATTGAGAATTAAGGTGTACTAAACAGATGTTTTGTCTTCGTTTGGAACTCTCTACCTGTACCCACCCATGTAAATGACCTTCAGATCACGAGGCGAACTTTTCACCGTTCGTGCGTCGATGGCTCGGTAGTAGAACGCCCACCAACCACGGTTTTGACCTAGGTTTGATTCCTGGCTGGCTCACTCCCAAATCTCACTAAGCCTGGAAAAGAGCGAAGATTAAGGCTGAGGCTAAAAAACTCACCGTGTTAAAATAACACCGTCTCTAGTCAAACCTTCAAAAACTTGAAGGCCTATGTTCTACTCAGAAGACAATGGAATGAAGAAAACGGCACCATAAAGTCACTTAATCAGAATCCGAAAAACCCACGAACTTTTGTTAATTGGTAACAAGTTGTTTCCCTGACATTTCATTTGCTTTCTTCTAGAATTATACGAATAAAATTGACTAGTAAAATAACCATTGCGAATGAGTATTACCTTTTATTGTCTCTGCTGTTTACTAAACAGTTTATTTTTCATTATATATTAGTCTGCAATGAAATGGATTGAAAAGTTAACTTGTGGTGGTTCTACAAATACACTGAGAGCTCTTCAGTTTGCTTTAGAAGATAATTTAACACAAGGAATTTATTTACTCACTGATGGTAGACCTGATCAAGAACCACAAAAAATACTACTCAGCATGCATTTAAATCATCGTATTCCAATACATACTATAAGTTTCAATTGTAATGATACTGAGGCGAATGAATTCCTCATACAATTAGCTCAAGAAAGTGGTGGACGATTTCATTACTATAACAGATTTCCAAATGATTTAAATAGACCAGAACAATGGGAGGTATGAAATAAGTTGAGCTTTTTTCCTCTTCTAAAATTTCCTACAGCTTTAAATAGCTTAAAGTTAAAGTGTATGATATTTTATGTGTTCCTGGAGTGAACTAAATGAACACCCTTGAATTTAGCATAAGTGTGCTGCAGTTCAGTGTTATAAAACTTCATAAAAGCATATAAAACCGTACAAAAGAGAAATATGAAGAAACTATAATAAACATGCGTCATAAAATTAAGATTTTAACTTTTTCTTAAATTCCATACGCAGCTGAGGTTAACTCTTCAGTAATATTCTTAATAATGTGAAGGTTTGTTTCTGTAGTGAAATCTCTTCCATCATATAGTACTTTTAATGCACACCATCTGCGTTTATGCGAGTACACCCATCTTTTAGTGATCATTATTTATTATGACTGTTTTGAGTTCTGAGTGGAGCATAAGGCTTCAGCAGCACACTTCAATTACACTATTTCTTACATTCTTTTTTAGTTGACTGCATGAATGCTCATTTCATTTCATTTCTCCGTCACATAATCTCCCTTACGTTATGCATGGACCACCATCGCAATTGTCGCTACCTATCCGGGTCCCTCTCGATGGCCTAGAGCGTGATATCACTCAGCAATCTTCTTACAGTATGTATGAGCCATATCGACTTGTTTCTGCGTATTTATTGGGCGGTAGGTTCCTGATCGTGTCGTTTCCAGAGTTTCTTGTCGCTAACCATTTATAGCCCAGGAAGGAGTGATCGCGGTAGCTATCAATGTAAGTCTTCATTAGCTTGATGGAAATGCTGTTGTTGACGCACTAAGTCTCTGAACAGGTGAAGCTAGTAACCGGAACAGTGAACATAAAACTAATTGGCGAGAAATGAGTGTTAGTTGTAAAGTATAAACTGTGTGACTGACTAAGTTTTCAGCGTAGAATTTTGCACAAAGATTGGTAATCTCAAGTTACCACACTCCATAGGGCATACAAAGGTAGGGAGTGAATGCACTGGAAACATTGAGAACCACTTTAAGTAATGCCACTATCCAGGCAGTTTACACCATCCTACTTTCCCGGTTCATATCAGCAGTCAGTGAATTGTGGACTAATAACATATGTTGATTTGATCGCCAATATTTATTTCTTAATCTAATCCCATGTCAACCGACAGTATTGTCTCCTTATCTAACTTTCTAAGCGCAACCTGATTACTGCTTGCCATCTTATCCCACTTAACACGGCAGATGGAATGTAAACATGTATAATCACAGACGGCTGGCCTCCTCAGTTTTTCTACTTTTAATAGCCATCTTTTGCAGCCATAAAAAAAGGCAGAGAGAACTGCTGCGCAGTATACACGTCCTTTGATCGATAGCCGGATATCGCATCTACAGCGATGTTCTTTATTATATGCTTTTTCGTCAAGTGTGCGTTGGTGGTACAGAGGTTAAGACGCTCGCCGACTATCCACAATGTCCGGGGTTCGATACCCGACTGAAGCACACCTGCTAAATTTAAGCTACCTGTATCACAAGCTGTAAATTCCATAGTTGTACCAAAATACTGTATGGAATCAAGCTTTAATAAAATTTAAAAGAAAATTAGAATTTAAAAATATTAAAGGATGATGCTTGATAAGAGGGAGATATTTTTCCTTGAAACTTTTTGGTATTAATCGAAATTCTATGAATAAAAGGGATAATACGTGAATATCTCGTAACCATCATCAAATATTCTTGCCAGATAACATCTTAACAGAAGCATCATGAAAAGAATCATTTCAAGTTTGTTTCTAGTTGATAGACAGCATGTGCATATGTGTGTAGCCTTCGATTTAAATTAAACCTTTCATCAGACATTCTATTCTGATATTTAGTAGTAGAAGAGAACTTGTATTAAACCAAATGATATCTCATGTTTTAATTTTAAAGTTATTCAGGTTAAGTGAATACTTCAAACGACATCACGATTCTATGGTAAATCAAATTAGGTCGATTTAAATTTTCAACCAATTGTATCTGTAAACTATCAAGTTTCTAAATATCACGAAGTATTTTCTCTCAGATATGTGATTTCTGTACTGCATAATGTTTCTTTCGTTTTTATAAGCTGTATAAAAGTTGTAGGGGAGGAAACTTAATGAAAATAATCAGCACATACATAATCTTCTGTTGGAATGGCTTAACAGTACACCTTATAATTAATAAGGCTGTCTCGTCTTTGGTGCGTTGTTTAAAATCTACCAATCAGTCGCGCATAGTGTGATGACTACGCTAAATTATACCATACATGCTAGTGAATACTTGAATGCATCCTAAATTTATCTAAGGTGTTAGGATTGGCCAGTCAATCGGAAAAACTGGTTTCACAAACTAGTCGACGAATCTCAGTCAATATATATGTCAATAGGTAGCTGCATTGTATGTACGTCGGTGGTTCACCAGTGACGCACACTTTCTGGGTTCAACTTTCCACTGACAGACTTAATTCGCCTCGTTCACTAACCTGTAGTGAGTCTCGAAAACGAGGAAGGGTGGACATGAAGCTAGCAGTCCCATCCCATCGAACAAAAATAACAATATTGCTACCGAAACTTGAGAGCTTTGTGCCTTTTGTTCCTCTGCGAAAGCAATCAGTATTAAAAACACATTTACAGTGAACCATGTGAGTAAAGAGAAGACAAGATTTTTTTTACCTATTTAACTGACAGTAGTGACCAAATCTCGAATCACTATGTCGATTTTAGAGTGAAGATATTCGACGGTTAGAAAATGAATATCAACTTGGTTTGGATAATTTGGAGAAATTAGCCCAATTGAGAGACGAATGTCATTTATTACGTATGAAATCAACTAGGAATAACAACAAAGAACCAACACCACTGAGGAAGAAATCATCTTCAAAATGCTTTTCTTACACTTCAAACACAGACACAACAAATTCAATAAAGGATTCAATATCTTCTATAAAACCAAAACAATCCAGGCGGAAATTGTGTACCGCTACTCAGTCTACTCATAATAGCAATAGTAGTAGCCGAAGAAAGTGTTTAAGTCCGACAATTGATACTATTAATGAAAGAGGTTCACAAAACTTTACAACTAGAAAACAGTCTATAAGAAAGATTTTCAGTGGTAAGTTAGCGATTTTTTTCATGTTTTCCATCTTGTTTAACAGTGTATTACTCATAGTCATCATATGAAGGCATTCACATACCTCCCGAACTTCATCTGTATAATTCTATTATTTCTTATCCTTAGGGCTAACAAACCAACTTCAGAAAATAGCTAGTTTCATTTTGGAGATGTAAAGAGGATACACGTTAAAGCTTATTGAATTATTTGGACTCAAACTGTTAATACAATAAAAGCATTGTTACAGGATTTCCTTTTCTACCAACTACCGATCTAAGGACGCGTGTACTGTACAGAATTTATCTTTATCTCTTTTCATGGCTGTGAGATGAGGCCGTGAATAAGCGAAGATATAAAGAGCCTAGCTGCTTGTTATCTTAGGTGTACACGTGTTAAGTGGCATAGTCTGACGAATAATATCAGAGTTTTAATTGAGGAGGGAAAATCGATCGAAGATGTTCTGAAACTGCATCTATTGAGATGCATAGGACATGATTTATGCATGTGAAGCCAACGCTTTCTTCATCGTAGTAGTGTTCGAAATATAGCATGGTATTAGTCCGCGTTTACGTCACACAAGGAAGAACCGACTGTTTGGCTAGGGTCCTTTGAAAAAATATAGAACTTTAGTTGGAGACTGCAAGTGAAGTAGTTTGAAATGGTTCTCTACGGTGTAGACGCAATTATTCTCCGTGATCTCCCAGATCATTTGTTCCTCATTATTCTTCATCCTGTCATTCTTTTTCCAATACATTTCTGTTTCTTTTAGCCTTGCTACATTGTTTATTTTACTACCTTCGTGTGCGGTTTTATTAAGTGTGATTAGCCCAATGATCTGCACTGAAAATTCAGTTCAGTTCAAGTTGGACCTGTGAAAACGTGGTAATGCATTATATAGATATTAAAAATTTTAGGATTAGTGGGCAAATAGAATAAAAACAAAAACGTTGCGTAACACTGCGTGAAATTTGATAACATAAATTTTAACGTTGCAAAACAAAATTGACTTAGAATGACGAGTGGAACGAATGAAATAATACCTCGGATAGTTCAAAGTGAGAATAGTAATAGTAACAATTAAAGTAATGTAGGAAGAGTATACAAGCTGAACAAACAAAACGAAAAAATTAGTAGAGCCAAAGTATTATTAAGGGTTACCATACTTTAGCTTAGAGAGATCAGGACCATGAAAGTTGGAGGCGTTGAATGAACTTTTTCTGTATACAGAGATCTTACTCTTCTGTCTCGATGGCCAAAGCTTCAGCATTACATATGATTTGGGTGCGTTAAATTCTATGTTATCAAATTTCACAGAATGTTACGTAACGCTTTTATTTTTATTCCATTTGTCTATTAATCTTATAATTGCACACCCCTTCGAAGTTATATATAAATTTCTCAATAGAGGAAAATCACGATTCCATGTTGATCTAGATTCGATATTTTCAAGATTATTGATATATTTGCCAAATATTTGTTCCTTATTGTATAGACTCATGCTATCCGAATCTGCATAATTTATCCGTAAAGTCACGAGATGACGATGATTTCTTACTGTATGAAACTAAACAACTATTGGACCGACAAACACAACGGTACAATGAAGCCATACGAGGTAAGCAATAGCCTAATCAAAAGGAAAATAGTCCTGTTCAAAACAGTTGCATTATGCATAAATACATATAGTTTAAATTTGTATTATTTGATATATCTTACGAAGGAGGATTATCCGGCATTAAAAGAGCTATTGACGATACAGTTCCATATGCTTTCACTAATATATTTCTTTTATATTTGTTTGAAAAGCCAATTGTGATTTATAAATGTCTAAATTGAATGAATGGACAATAAAACTTCATCAATTTTTTTACATCGACGCATTGGAAACGTCCAGATCATGTTGCATACCCAAAAGTGAAGTTATTTGACTGAGTTGAAGATTTAAAAAGACACTAGTCAGCAAAGAAAACTTTTCACAGCTTCACTTCAAAGCTGTACAGTTATACAGTATTCTAAAATGTCATGAAAATGATTATGATGGTCAAATTATACATATCAGTTTGCATGTCAGGATAACAATGCATAAATTATGAAGTTTAGTTAAGTAGTCTTATGTAACCCAAAAATAATGGATAATGAATATCCGTCAGAAATGATTACCACTAGGACTGTTACGGCTTGGGAACAGTATTATTTCTTATAAGAGTAAGAGATTCAGAACATGCATAATGTATATTTTGAAGTCAGAAATTTAAAAGTGAAGCACTACATACTAAATCCTTGTATGAGACCAACAACGACTTAAGGCCGCGTCTAGACAATGTTCTATTGGCACAGCCTACGCACTTATCTCCACAAGAGCAAGTGAACTGATAAATTCACATGGATGTTGTCAATAGTAGTATGCCGTCTTCGACAGTTAGATGGATAAGAAGTTGTTTGGAGAAGCTAAGACGTAGAAGATGTAGCGATGAGTGTTTTTCGAACTGCTCTCTTTGGTCGGTTTCAGAAAATTCCAGCTGTTGTTTCACCTTTGGATTCTTGATTTACAATTAGCTTTTTCTGTACCTCTATCTCTTGCAGATTATCATTCTCATTTTTCACATCTTTACTGATGAATGCTGGTGGATAGCCACTCCGACTTAGTGTTCTAGAAGGACTTATATTCCTGTTTCAAGCAACGTTATTCTTGGTGATAATGATTTCCGAGCTGTGTTTATCACTTCATGCTTCTAGATTATGTAAAAGTACTCAACCAAGTTTCGTATTTGATTCATCACTTTTGTTGATATGCGATTTTATATATTTCCTTTTCAAGTCATACTAGCAGTCGACCGTTATAGGCATTTTCACGGCCTTTACGAATATTACATAACTGTACAGCTTGGACTGAAGTTGAGACAAGAATATTCTTTACAGACCAATGTCATTTTAGTTTATTTCATATCGGTATTTCTCCTACCTAAAGGGATGTACTAACTGTTCCATTAATTATCAACATTTTATTTGCATATTTTAATATTCCTGGTTTTATGTTGTGTGGGTACTTGGAGTACAGCACGTTTGTTCCTAAATGTCCGCCTGTGAAGCCTTTTTGTGATATAAAACTTGCAACAATGCTTTTTTTGCGACACTAGAGGGAACTGTCTTAGGTGACCGATATTTGTAGTAACCACGTATTGTAACCTGGTTTCTACAGTAATAAACTACATCTTAATGACTGGAATTATGAATTACACAAAGTGAATAAGTGGGGTAATCATACCTCGTCCATCAATGAATGTAAAATGACCTCGAAGCATAACACGAAGTATTATAATACTAACTCGTCTGCCTACCAAAAGACTCAGTTTCGGCATGCTGAAGAATTTATGAGGAATTTCAGATCTGAGGAACGTAACAACACCAAAAATATACAGATCTTTTCCACTTTTATAAAGTGTACTTCTGGCATATACAACAGAAATTCAGTCACACCTATTGTTTTAAAATTCATAATATTAAGTGTTCGATAGTCTGTCTGTCTGTCTGTCTATTTTAGTAGACATAGAACTTTGCACATATGTGCGGAAGTTCAAGTCGCCACACTCCTTCCATGTAGCACACAAAGCAAGAGAAGAAAGTAGAAGTAATGCATAATAGAGACAGTAAATAGAGGAGCGAGACAAAGGAATAGTAATAACGAAGAACAATATAGTTTCATTGAAAATCATAAGTCACAAGGAGTGGATGCATCTGCGCCATTGAAAACGATTTTGAGCCATGTCACCAATTGTTTCCAACCATTGGTTTTTACCGTCCCGAGGACCCCAACCAGTCAGAAAGTCTACACTTTCCTACAATGGAGTTCGATAGAGTTGTAATAGGCAACGTATGCTCTGAAGATGTTATGTAGTAAGGCAATAAAAGCTTCCCAAGTAAAGCATTCAGATCAAAGAATACAACTACATCAAATTTATCTACATGAGCTGCAAATCGTCTCCATCATATCTTCGGGGTAACTGTGTTATAACTGACTACTAACCTATAAACTATGACTAGTCGGTTGATATTTCATTGGTGTAATTTTATAATTCAACAAAACAAATGTGCTTGAATCTTTCTTTTCTTTCTAATTTCAAACAAAAATTGGCAGAGGAAATATTAATCAGTGAAAGGCAAGAGGAAGAAGCTAATTTAAACGAACCTTCAAGAAGGCTGTAAGTAAATATTTTGAAATTTTTTAACTTACTGTCTTTTATTTGTTTGTCTAATATTATTCCTTTGAATTTCAGGGTAAAATAGGCCTTCAACGGAACATCTTCATTTCACCCTTTTATGTATGGTCGTTCTCAGCTGGCTCTACGTTTGATCATATGCTCTCATTTCCTGCTCGCACAATCACTTCCATGTCACTCTCGAACTCGTGCCCAACTCGTCTTTTCCCACTCATGTTCTGCTTGAGGTCTTCACACACCATGTGGCTCAACATTCCTCCCAATGTTTGTCCTTCGGCCTATTCACTGTGTAGTGAGTTCTTGGTCGATACATTCCCAGAGTTCTTGGCTGCTCATCGTTTCTGGCCGTCTGACCTTCATTTATCAGGCTAAGGTCGCTGTTGACGGAAGTCTGAAGTAGCCTGCTGGAAATGCTGTGATGGCGCTCTGGGTCTCGTTTGTTTAATGCTGAAAGGTTTAATTCACAAAACTTAAAACCATTTTGTTATTAGTACGTTCAATAATCCTTTTTTAAAACTCGTGGTAAACTCAAGAATAAAATATATGAATGAACAACATTATTTTCGGATCTTGGATCTTGTAGGCATTTTGATTAATCTCAGTGAAGATTTTGCTACGAGGAGACATCAGTTAAAGAACCAATGAAGACCAGGAATGCGTTGGACAGTTGTTTCGTTCAAGTCTGAGACTCTTTAATAATGTGTGCACCTGTGACCAACTAGGGGTAGAGCGTAGAACCTTTAGGTAATGAAGCAAGTATGTTGGCCAATAAGCCAAGGGATTGTAATCCAATGACTCATTCTCAGTAGCACAGATGCATCTACTCTTTGTCATCTCCAAGATTCATCAAATCCTTATTATTTTTCATGTTGTCATCCTATTTTTATACATTTCCTTTTATTATGGTATCACCGCACCTACTTCCTCTATCGTTTTATGTGTTTTCAAGAAATGTGGCAAATTGAACTGCAACATTTTCGTTCTAAGTTCCACTTTAAACATTTAATTCGCTTCAGTTGAACAGCTGAAAACGAGGTTATTTACATAAACTTATCATCAAAAAGTAATTCATGTCATTTTGCGTAATCAGAAATGTTTATCAAATAGCCTGTCCAAATTAGGTGTGTAGTGAAGCCAAAATTTATGAAGAATTATTAAAGCAGTGAGGTTGTTCAGACTTGATAACAGACGGTTTTGAATATTAGTCTTGTTTATAATAATCCAAATGTGAAGAAAATGTTGGCAGCAAATGCAAATCTTTGTCATACGTTTTAGTCGAGTTGACCCTCGAATGTTACACTGGATGGTGTAAATATGAAGACATCAAGTTTTACAGGAGTAACAGTAAGATCTTAGCAATGTGCGATTATAAGCAGGAAATCTAGACATATTTTTTTTCTTTTTTTATTGCATTTGACTGCTTCACTCCGTGCCTTATTAAACGGTAGCCGACATAGACATTTTTATATGATTCTAAATAATTTCTATAAAACACATCACCTGAGGTAATGCAAGTTTGAAACATTCAAGCGAAATGTATTTACTGAAGTATAATGGTAATATATATATATATATATATATAGGATAAGTGAATAGTTTTAGGTTGGGTTAGGTAACGATTAGGGTTAGGGTTAGGTTAGCTTAATTAGAGAGAAATTAGGGCTGTTTAAGGACAGATTAAGGTTATGTTGGGATTGACTTAATGGCTCGAATGTACTTTTGATCGCATTCGCGTCCGTTGGGTTTCTATTCTTCGATTTTTTTTAAATAAGATGATAGTGAGTAGTTGAGGGCTATGAAAGTTAGTGTTTGCCTCTAATCACTCCTTGAAATAATCATTTCATTCTTAATGGTCTACAAGCACGCCTTATAACCAGAAGGTCCTGGACTCGAACCCTGGTGGTGGGTGCATCCTGTGAAGAGCCCCAGACTGGGGCAAAATAGTTGGCTGTCCAGTACTGTGCGTTGGTGGCACAGTGGTTAGGACTCTCGCCGACCAAACACATGGTCCGAGGTTCGATCCCCTGCCGACGCATACCTGATATCTATGGTCGGCCTGCAAAATTTGGGCTACCGATATCAGATGCTGGAAATCCCATACTTGTAACAAAAATACAGTGTGGAATCAAGCTGTAATCAAACATATAAAAAAAATATTTAAAAAAATACTCACAGCTGGTATTCCAACGGTTCTTTAACCAATGTCAGCCCATGATGAAGTCCTGTAACCAATCAATCAAATCCCTACAAACCAACACTTGAAAAATAAATTATATTTATTTTTGTTTTTATAAACTATTTTAGTTACACAATCTCAGAATGGTTATCTCAGCATAGTTTGGCAAACGAAAAGGTTCGATTCAATGATCTGTTGAAGTCATTCACTGTTCGCCTACGTCCTAAGTATATACCAGCATTAGGTCATCATGTTGTCTCAGAGGTATTAAAACAAACATTGCCTGTTGCATATGTAAGTATGTCAAAGTCCTCAAAATCCCCAGAAATTTGTTTAATGAATCCACTAGCTATTAATGTTGGACAATATGAAAAGAAGTTAACCAGTGTATTATTCACAATTGAAAAGTAAGTTAAATATGGTGATGTGTCTTAATAAATTGATGTAATTACTGTCCAGACTTATTTCGCTGTCAAACCCCATATCTAAACATCAAAAATGAGGTAATCAAAACAAATGAAGAATTGTACCTGCTCTCATGGACTGACTACTGAAGAAATCTTGGAGCACATAGGAAAGGTTCGTCACTACTTTTAATCTAACCGCTATTCAAGTGGCATTTGTGGCATGGTTGAATCCACAGGAGCATCTGTTCCAGCTGGTGTAGCTTTCCGGGTCATTGCGAAATGCTACTGGCCTGACAACCACATGAAGATATCAGCTACCAGTCAGGAAATACTGTCATTAAAGTTTGTAGAATGTCATCTTAAAATAAAAAGAATGATGAAACAAATAATTGTGACTGCTCAAATCCGATCGATTCTGAGCCATATCACCTGAGTTCTCTAATCATATACCACTCGCATATATGATTCAGAAAGTCATTCAATTAGTGGACAGCCATCAACTCTGACCTTTTTTAAACCTAATCCTACTTAGTTGAACACCTTTGTTTTAGGAAAGCAGTGGCTAAGCATACGTAACTCATGTCGAATAAATACGCATCAAATGAAAAAGATTTACAGTTTCTTTAACTAAACCGCTTTTCTCATTTATTTCTTAGGCTCTACATAACACCAAACGTCATAGTTTCAATAAATATGGAGAGTGTTGAATATATAGATACTTCACTTTTTAACCTCGATATTCACATTTTAATTATATATTAAGTACGCCAAATGCCACAGATGTGGGCGATTATTCCTCTCATATTCTTAAAAAAGTTAGAATTTAAGTATAAATTTGTTTTTGGAGCTGATTTTGAACCAGAAAGTATGTACTTTACAAACGCATTTGAGTTAAGTATTCTGCAGGATGATATTTGGTAGAAATCAAATGATCATTAAGGAACATTATACCCTTTTATAATGCCTATAATTTGTTTTATTTCTTGACCATACTACACTCCAGCTTAAGCTGTGCTATGCGCTAAATCTTTAAAATAGTTTACGTAACCAAACGAAAAGAGATGCATCCGTTAGCCCTTTAACTAACAGTATTCAAAAGGACATTTTCAGCACTTTACAAAAGAGTGAAGTAGCTTGAAATTTCGTGATTACTATTCTTATTAATCATCTTTTGAGTTCCATATGGAAGAAGCCCTCAGCAACAAATCGACATGTCGTCTCGCTTTCTGCAGTCAATTTTTAATTTGCTGCACAGTCACCAATAAGCTCTCACTTCCTCCACACATTTTCTTCTCCATGTCACTCAAATCGTTACTTCGCATTCAGGTCCCACTCAAGGGCTCATCACATTATGCCACTTGACTGTATTCTCAGCGTATTTGGACTCCACTTTCAATTCTTTCTGCATATATGTCTGGTGATAGATCCTTAGTTGGTTCGTTTCCAGAGCTCCTTGTTGTTTTTCCTTCTTGTCGGACATTTTATGAGGAGTATCGGGTGAAAGTAGCTGTTGGTGAAATTCTGCGGCCTGCTGAAAATGCTTTTTCTGACGCGTATGACAAGTCTCAACCGTATGGCAGTACCAACTAACTTGACGCTACTGTCGAAAATCCGGATCTTGTTCCATAATCTGAATGTTGTTAATCTTCACACCTATTTCAAAGTAATGAACGTCTGCTTTTGGCAACATCTTTTGTCTGTGCTACCTTTAGTTAAAACGATGCTACCTGGGTGGTAGTTTTTTCCGTTCATGACGATCAATGCTTGTTGTAGTTGATTAATCCGTTCTATGTGAACCTGAAGTCCCGTCTTGGCTGCATCTCCAGATAGCTTGTTGGCTTTTACTTGTAGTTCTCAAAGTTTTGTGACATTACATCAATTATCCTCAAAGCTCATATCTTCTAGTTAGTCTTGAATTTATTTTCATTGATTAAAAATGTTTAACAGCAGTATGAGAATCCCACCAAATCAATCCTCAACACTCATTCATAGAAATGTTACCAACTCAGTGATTCAAAGCATTGTTCAATAAGATAAATAGATAAGGTATAAATTCGATTGTCATGGAGTACAACCAATTTTCGGTTAAACTTAATCCGCTTCAAATTTTGCTGTTCCCACTGGTACTTCAAAAAATTATTCTATCTTTATTTTGTAACACTAGAAAATTAATTGAAATAGTTTTTCAATATCTGGACAATGAATCTTTAGCTAAATTACGCAAAAATGTACATCTTGATATATATAAAAAATGGCATTCAAAACTCTGTTGGTATCAAGATCATTCATGCATAGTGAATACGTTTGAAGCAGCTAATTGGCCATTCCCTCATGATGAATTTTTATTACTTACGAAGGAACTTGACCTGGTACGTTTATATTGTTACATGAATGTTGATTTCACCTAATATTGTAATCCTGATCGAAATATTTAAGTAAAATGATTTAACTATTACTTTTGTGAGAAAACATTTTTTCTCTGTGAAGTAACACTACTCAAAAAAGCAGTATAGATTATAGGATAATGATTACCTTCTCTTATAGGCTGTTTAAATTGTCAGTTGCTAATCTAAACTCCTTTCTGTCTTTTCAAATGAAGACTTCACTTGCTAATTTCTTTCCCAGTAATATAGAAAATGTTTGACGGGTGGTAAGTATACATGTGTCCCAGAACTATATGATGGACGAAGATATGATCGAGTTACCCTTGCTTTTCTCAGGCCATATTAAATCTTCAGAGGCCTATGGGGATATGAAATGTGATCCCGACAACATCATAATGGTAACCATCTTTCTAATTCTATAAGAAGGGAGATTCAATAAACGAGGTAAGGCATATTTTACGCGTGCCGAGCCACCACATTCTTCGACTTACGCTTTTACTATTAGACTGAACTCGAGTCGGGGTTGTCTGGACTAACACACGGCACCGATCCATGAAGTCCTAGACTGTTGATTTGAATCACATATAGAAGTCTAGACTGTTTTACTGGGGTCACTGGGATGGTTGAAAACTGTAGGTTATAGGTTTCAAAATCGTTTGTAGTAGCGCATTGTAAAGATCCTGAATGATCTTTGTGTAATTATTCTGTCTTAAATACACCTTCATCCACTGTCGTTTCATTACGACTCTTTTCAGGGTTCGATCGCCGGCCAACGAACTCCTTTACCTCACTAAGCCAGTAATAAGGCTGGTAAAGAGGGAAGGTTGGGCATGAGATTAGTAACCCTACCCAGTAAAAATAAAACCAATGCTACCGAAAATTCAAAGCTCTAGCTGGAAGCCCTATGTTCCACTGCGAACGTAAACGAATAAATAAAAGTCAGTCTTTTGATATTCTTAATAACACTATACCATTATGCTCTTTACCTTTTATTATTTTTTTTGAAACATAGGGACAGAAATATTTTAATCAAGCAAGAAAGTTGAAAAGTAAACAAAAATCTAATAATTCCTACAAAATACCAGTAAAAAACGGTGATTCTCCATCACCTAGTCATGCACCATGTGGCCATGCATATCGATTACATCACTGAATAATAATAATAATAATAATAGAAATGAATAGATCGTGTCAATTAACCAACTTTCTTTCTTAGGCTATCGCAAATTATTCCTATTATGCTCAATGTTAATAACGCTAAATTTATTTTCATTTCATTTTATTTTCTAAATAGCATAAACATTATCTACAGATAAATGTGAGCTTATTGGTTAATATTTTGTTGAGAATATTCCCCTGTTCACTGATTGGTTGAGTTTTGTTTTGTTTGAATGTTACTCTTTTATCCTTTGTTTCTTATTGTATTTTTTTGTAGAAAAATCATTGCATTATTTCATTCACAGTATAGATTGAATTATTGTTTACAAAAAATTTTGTTTTTCAAAATATACATATAAATGTGCATATATTTCAATTGTCTTATAGCGATTAGTAGTATTGTCATTATTATGACAATTAGTTTGATCATACACCCAATTTACTGTCCAGTGTCTATATGAAGAATCAGATTCCCATTTTAAAAACTAAATCGCGACCTATGATTCACACAGTTCAAGGTGAAATTTCACCACAGTTCCGTTTGGATGGCCATATATGATATGCTTATTACCACAAATGTTGACTGAGAATCCAAGTATAAATGTATGATACTATATTATTACTGATTGATTGAAAGTGATTGAAGTAACAACATGCTTATCGATTTTTTTAGTCATGATTAAGGACTACAGCCATTAGTGGCATCTGGAATGGCCCATAACCAAGCAGTCTACACTTCCGTGCATGAATAAAACACATGAAAGTAGGAGTAGAATTCGGACACTTGACTCGTCACAAAGGGCACTTCGAACAAACCACAGATTTTCATCAAAAGCTGTCTTCGCTCAATACTCCGCTCAACATCAGATGGCCGCCGGCAATAAGAGATCAGTAACAGGGATCTCTAGAAGCGAACCAACCAAGGACCAATTGTCCAACAAATATGCAGGAAGAAATGGGGTGGATTGGCCATACTCGGAGAAAACAAACCATCAAGTGGCATCACACACCAGGTTTTTGAGTTGAACCTGAATGGGAAGCGGCGAGTTGGTCGTCAATGCGAGGGTGACGTGGAGGAGGTCATGTGAAGAGGAGATGAAAGCATGTGGGCAGACTTAGAGCCAGATGAAAACGTTGGCAGATAACCAAACGCAATTGAGAAGTGTGGCTGAAGCCCTATGTTCCTCTAGGAAGTAAAGGAAACAATAATAATTATTATATGATGTTAAACAACTTTAGGATATGCAATCTAATATAATACTATTCAAAATTAAATATGAAAACTGAAATCATGGTAAACTCAATTCATGTGGGACAATTAAACACCTATTCATTTAGAAAGGATCATATCATGCGTATACATGTGTAAAATAATTCAAGGGTTCACTTGAGTTAAAGAAACCTCAAAATCTTAAATGATTGGTGGTAACAATGGTGTGATTACCATTACAACTTAGTGATACACCTTTTTGTGACTATCCTGGCACCTGAATCACTTTGCACTGAAAGTAGTTATTAAGTCACTGGAAGCAAAATATTAGGTTCCTTTTACACCTGTTTCAAGCATTTATTTCTCACCATGTTGACAAATAGTATGTATTTATAGACCTTATGCTTTAAATTACCTGAAAATAGTAAGGGAAAGCAAGTCTTAAAAAAAAGAGATTGTATAGCCTTTTACATATCACCTTCCACGGTAGTATCAAGTGGAGGGTTATTACATAGACAACTTTACAACAGAAATTTCAGTCAGGATGAAATACTTTAACATATATAAGTATATATTTGTCGTTTTCATCATATCAGTCAGGCCTTTGATTGAGACAACGCGATGTCAGTATTTCCATTAAAAAGACGCCTGAAAATCTGAATGCAACACTGAAAACCTTTCTACAAACAATAAGGGTGACATCCGAGTTTTTGTGGAGCTATTTGACTGAGTCTCCTCGTAATCGAGTACACTAAAGAAGGATGAGAAAGAAAATATTTGGAAAAAATTATTCAGTCAAATATGACAATTCGTCCAAACGTGTTAAATTGATAACACCAAACCCCAGCGTATCCAGAGTAGCTACTGTACCTGAACATAAAGTCGATGTTCAAAGAGGAGATATCACTAAACACATATTTGAGTGCAACATCTATACATTTTCTGACGAGTTCTGGCACTATATATTCAGTCTGCTGTGGAAACAATGGTGAATACTGTTGATACTGTGCAGTGATATCTTATAAATTCCAGTGGCTTTAATCTCAAGTGATTTGAGTGAATAAAACGATGCCAGAGTGCTCCGAATATGATGAAGATTTAGGGCCGAAGACATTGGCTAATGGTCGCGCTATGTTGTGAATTGGCGGAAGTTAGAATTCATAAGGCATTGGAACGGGTCCCAGTGGTTCGATCATCCATGAGCTAGCTTTGTAACCAGGAGGTCCAGGGTCCGAACCCTGGTGGTGGGCGCATACTGATGAAGAGTCCAGGACTAAGACGAAACATTTGTCTGTCCACTACTCCCAACTGGTTTTCCAATGGTTTTCTAACCAAAGTTAGTTCATGATGAAATCCTGTAACCAATTAATCAAATTCCTACAAACCAGTACTTGAACAGGGTATGATCACTAATTGATGGCCGTTAACTGTATTGGCTTATAACGGAAAGGACTCCTCAAGCAGCTGTTATAAGCAGATTGATCTCCTAAAAGAATGGAATTCTAATAAGTTATCACGTGAGGCATCCGCAAAACCGAGTAGAATACTTTAAGATAATGAATTGAAATGCAAGATAGTTCTGTCGGAGTGATATTGATTGTTGATTGTCCAAGCTCTTGAGATAGGAAAATAAATCTCCCTATGACAGTAACAAGGGGATCAACATGGCAGATACATAATTTAGTTAGACGAACAAGCTGTCCAATACTGTCAATTAATATAAATGAGTTAAATCTCCATTATTTGAAGTAATCAAGTAGAGATATAAATTAAACTACCAACTTCGATAGCAAGTGTTGTCGACAGAAAAATATAGTGAGAAGCAACAGTAATAAACTTAACCGCAAGAGAGAAAAGAGAATTAAACGTGAAATGGTATTTAATGAATCTAGGTGGTCAGACGTAGAGGTGTATATATTATATGTTACATTTATTATTATTTCCTTTAATTCCTAGAGGAACATAGGGCTTCAGCTGCGCATCTCCATTGCCTTCGGTTTTCTGCCAACTTTTCACCCCGCTCCAAGTCTGCCCACATGCTTTCATCTCCTCTTCATATGACCTCCTCCAAGTCACCCTCGCACTGACGACCAACTCGCCGCTTCCCTTTCGGGTTCCACTCGAGCAATGGCTTGTCTAGTGATGTTACTTGATGGTTTCCTCAGAGTATGGCCAGTTAATCCACCCCATTTCTTCCTGCTTATTTGTTTCGCAATCAGTTCCCGGTTGGTTCGCTCATTGCCAGAGATTCCTGTTTCTGATCTTTTCTGGCCGGCCATCTGATCTTGAGTACTGAGCGAAGACAACTGTTAATGAAGGTCTGAAGTTTGTTGTAGATGCTCTTTATGACACGCCAAGTCTGTGATCCGTATAGTAAGTAGCACTGACTTCACATTAGAGTTGAAAATCCGGATCTTATTTTCATTCTCATGCTTAGTGCTGTTGACCTCCACACAGACTTGGTGAGGGTAATGAAAGCTTGTCTTGCTTTTCCGATTCTGACCTTGATATCCTCATCAGTTCGGTCGGCTTGCAGCTAAAACGATGCTTCCCAGGTAGGTAAAGGAGGCTGTTTCTTTCAGGTTCCTCCCATTTATGCTGGCGGATTGTTGTCTGTTGTTGTTGATGCTATTGGTGTTGACCAGGAACCTCCATCACCTCTGTTTTATCTATGTTCAACTGAAGTCCTATCTTTCTGGATGTTTCTTCTGCCAGCTTGTTGCTTTTCATTTACATATCTTCCAGTTTGTGGGAAATCAGACATATATCATCGGCGAAATCCAGATCCTCCAAGTCTTTTGTGTCAGTCCATTTTATGCCTGTTCCCTCGTTGGTTGCCGTTGTCTGTCGCATTATCCAATCAATTGCAATCAGGAAGATCATTGGCGATAGTAGACAGCCTTGCCTCACTCCCGTCCTCACTTCGAAGGCTTCCGTAAGTTTCCCGTTGTGGATTACTTGGCATGCAGCATTGTCGTATAACTGTTGGATGAGATGTATAATTGTCGATGGGACCCCGTAGTAGCGAAGTAGTTGCCAAATCACCTCTCGATCGACGCTGTCGAAGGCCTTTTCAAAGTCGATGAAGTTGAGATAGAGAGGTGACTGCCATTCCAAGCTTTGTTCAATGATGATCCGTAGTGTGGCGATTTGATCAATACATGACTTGTTTCTCCTGAATCCAGCCTGTTCCGGTCGAAGTTTTTCATCCAGGGCTTGTTTGATTCTCTCCAGGATGATGCGACTTAGTATTTTGCTTGGAATGGACAGGAGCATAATTCCACGCCAGTTTTTGCATTGACTTAAGTCTCCTTTCTTTGGTAGTTTGAATAAGTATCCTTTCTTCCAATCCTCGGGTACTTTGCCCTCTTTCCACACCTTCTTCAGCAGTGGCGTCATCAAGTCCGCTGTTGTCTCTGGGTCTATTTTCAAAGCTTCTGCTGGGATTCCATCTGGTCCTTCTGCTTTTCCAGCTTTTAGCATCTTGATTGCATTCAGGACTTCTGATTTCGTCGGGGGGTCAATGTTCACTGGTAGTTCTGCTTCCGTTGTTGGTATTGTTGAGCGCGTTGTAGGTGGCGGACGATTTAGAAGTCTTTTGAAGTGTTCAGCCCAGTGCTTTCTCTGTTCCACCTCTTTGGTGATTGACTTTCCATTGTCATTCTTTACTGGCTTAATCTGTGTCGAACTTTTGCCCGATAGGTTCCTAGTTGTTTGGTAGAGTGTGGCGAGGTCTCCTTTGCCTGCAGCTTGTTCTGCTTCACTTGCCATGGTTTCATAATATTTTCTTTTGTCTTCCCTGGCACTCTTCTTCACTCTTTTGTTCAGTGTATTGTAGCTTGCATTCAACTCCTGTTTTTGTTGCTCGTCGGTGCACTGGATAATCTTTTGTTTCACTGTCCTTCTCTCTTCTATTAGTTTCCAAGTGTCCGTAGTGAGCCACTGTTTGTCCTGTCTCTTTTTTCTGCCTAGAACTTCCATGCAGGTTTGACTCCACACCGTTTTCAAGTTGTTCCAGTGCTTTTCGACGCCGACTTCTTCGCTAGTGTTGATTTGTGTCTTGTCTTTTTCCCATATGTTTGCAATGAAGATGTCCTTTGTAGCCTGGTCCTTCAGTTTTGGAGTGTTGAACTTGGCTTGTGGTCTATCTGCAGCTCCTGTTTCCCTGAAAGCTTTTAATTTGATTTGGATTGTCCCTTGTACGAGATAGTGGTCTGAGCCAACGTCTGCTCCTCTTCTTGCTTTTGTGTCCAGTAGGCTGCGCCTCCACTTCCTTGAGATTGAGATGAAGTCGATTTGGTTTTTGGTTTGCCCATCTGGTGACACCCATGTAGCCTTGTGGATATCTTTGTGCTTGTATACACTGCCACCAATCACTAGTTCGTTGAAGGCGCAGGAGTCGGCAAAGAGTTCCCCATTTTCATTCATTTCTCCGAGAGCTTCTCTATCCATGATGAGTTCCCTTCCTGTGT